AAGGCTTCCTTGACCTACCCTTCCTGAAACAACAATCGTTGAAGTGGAAGATGGATGAACGTGGCCGGTTGGATGACCATGTTCCTCTAGAAACAGTGTGGACGACCCACTTCCATAGTTGTTTTTGGAGTGTAAAAGTTGTGGATTTGGTGGGATGCTTGCGTGTCCCGCAGTCGATGTCGGGGAAGTCTCCCACGCTCCTTCGGACGCCGCACCGGGTTTCGGAAGTGGTGGTGCCTTCGATTTCGGTGCCCAGCTGCGACATGAAGCTGAGTTTAGTACATAATGTATATATACATAACAGTGTCTCCCTATAGATATAGCTATAGATAGCTATAGGCTATAGTGTTTCCCTAGTTTCAAGTACCTCCGTTTCGAAGGTGTTCGGGGTGGTTCTAAGGACTTTCAAACCCACCTGAGATGTTTTCCCCAGGGATCCACAGACCTTCTCAGAAGGTTCTCGGACCCTCCAAACCTGCATTAAAGATCCGTAAAGTATCTCCAATCACCTTCTCAGGTTCGGTCTCTGGATCCATATAGGGTCTGCTTCAGCTCTTTGGAACCCTACGGTCAATGCCACAAGTCACAGCCTGCCACGGAGCCACCACAGCCACGGAACCTCCACGGTGGTCCAGGCTCCCATGCGCTCTCAACGGCCGTGCCGGTGAGACCAAGTCAATTCTCAACGTCCTGCGCGCGACCAAGCGCAACGTGCCCCGCGCGCGAGCAGAGTTTCCATACAGATTGCAATTAGTTCTGTTTGAATATGCTTTTCGGTGGTGGCTCCTAAGTAAGTGGGGAGGTAAATTTGTTTCTTAAAGGACCTCTATGGTCTCGATCCCAAGAGCTTTTCCTGGCATGTTGTTCTTTTTCGTTCTTTGTTTGATCTGACAGTCGACATGAAGTGGGTCTTGGGTTTGGATTTGGTTTTGACAAAGTTTTTGAAAACCATGTCTTGCTTTGGCCCATTTTTTCGGGTTCGGAATCAATCCGTATCGATCCGATCCGAGCTCGAAAATGCCAAACACCTGTATTGAAGTGTTGTGTGGTGCAAAGTGGTGAACAAGAGTGGAGTTTTGCACCAAAAAAGGTCCACGGGTTTGTTGAACCAGCCGATTTACTCAGAAGAGGATGTGGGAAAGCACGATTGCTGTAGTAGTGTAGGAAGATTGAAGATATTTGAGGATTATCATGCTATACGCTTATGACTCAAACAACGTAAAACGTCGACATGTGTTTTTCAAGAAAAAGATCGTGCAAGGTTCGATTCCTCTCCCCACTGGAGACACCACCAGTTCATACCAGTTCCAAGTTCCTGGCAAAAAACATCAGATTTCTCCGCGACCCTGGAAAACAGTCTCGCTCCATGCGTGCCCATGCCGTGCATGGCTCATGGACCGAACGTCTCGGAGCTGTGTTCATGGGTAGAAGATCGATGAAACTCACGAAGCATGACGACTCTTGGGGAGGGAAAGTGTTCGAAATGGGTGGTAAAACATGGTAAAACCACATGGTCTCACTGGTCGAAAGGTGTTTTGGTTGGCGGCCATATTTTAGATAGACCTTAGATTTATAATGATTTATATACAGTACTTAGATGGTTTCTTTTGAGCCCGGCCTGCATCTTGAATGCCTGGGCTGGCCTGGCCTGCTCTGGGACCGAACTCTTTGGCCACTTTTGGCCGTCATTTTGTGGGGCCGAAGACTTGACATTTTATCAGTCGGATTGGAACCAGTCGACGTATGAGAACTAGAACTGGCTGGAAATCCTTCGTCGTCAGCGGGTTCGTTGTAGCGCAGATCAGAAGTCTTTCAGAGATTTGGCAGAATGAACTTGAATGAACCGCTTGACATCGGAGGTTTGCCAATGTTTGCATAAGTTTGCACATGTTTGGACTTCTGTTAACAGCTTAAGTCGTTGGAACAATTAGGGGCCTGATTCGATTCCTGAGAGCCTCTACATGGCTGGAGAACCGGGATGTTCACCGGGTTGGGCCCCTTTTGCAAGCGTCGATTCGGTGTGCCAGTTCTTGGTCCCGTTTCAAGTTTCGTGCAGCACGAGTGGGGAGCTTGAGATTTGCCACTGAAATCAACTGTTTTCTGAGAGGACCCTGGAGGCCAAGAAGGCAGTGAAGAGTGAGAGACAGAGTTTCACAAACTACAGCGAGATGATTGAAAAACACCAGGTGAACACTATCTTTGGGAGGGGGTGATTGTAGACTCCCATCATCCTATTTTATACCTAGTTGAACAAAGAACATCAATCCCACTACCGTTTTGTTTGCATGTCCACAGGCGCAATGACAACAGGAACAAACTGGATGCCAACTTGAATGACATACCACAAAGGCCTGAAGCTCTCGGAAAAAGGATGGCAGACATGGCAAGCCAGCACCATGCGATGGCACAAGACAATGCCACTATCATTGGCACACCTTAGCTATCCAAGCAATGGCAAGTCACCATGACCACATCAAGCAACATCATATTTTGAGCACCATGCAAGACAACACTATGGAAAGCTCGAGTGCGGAGCAATGGTGGAACAATGTTGGGCCTGTGGGTGTGACAACACTAAGCTCCCCAGATCTTATACTGGTTGTAGACGAGCATTTCCATGTTCTAGGTACTAACAGCACCGTCTCCACAGAGCGAGACTCTTTGATCAGTTGGTGCGTGGCGAGAGGTGCACCGTGGACTATTTGGATCCCGAGAAACACCAAGAAGGACAGCGATGGCCTCCCCTGGAAGTTGGTACCCTCATATCCAACCGGAGTCATCAGTGCACAGATACTAATCATGGCTGGATATCAGAGAACTGAACCTGAAAGGTCAAGGGCACAATCTGCTCCTTCCTGCGAAGCAGCTGATGGATCGCACGAGACACTCGTTTCGCGCCCTATGCCAAATTAACCGGCCCGAACGCGCTGAGGGCATAGGGAGCGCAGAAGGAACGTGCTCCCATCCGAGCATTTCAAACAAATTAATGCTACACCACTTAACTTGTGCAACCACTTGACTTGTGCAGATGAGTGGCTCACTGGTTGCTGCCAAGTTGTCATCTAAATATGTGATGATCAAAATGTCTCGTTGAGATCATTTGTTGGATTGCAATGGACACGTTTGGAAGCATGTAGTCATGGGTTCCCACAAAGAATGAATCAATTGTGATTTTGCAATCGATTTGTCTTGGTGTCTTTGGTGAGATTTCTGACCATGCTCCATGGTGAGCCACTGTTGATGTGTGTGCTGCGTCCTGCTGGCCAAAGTGGCCAGCACGGGCACTCAGCGCACGCTCAGTTGTTTCAGGATCAGATCGGTCGCGGAAAGAGACCGCAGATGCGGTTGCGAGGTGCCATCTATGACAGCGTGTTCTTTTTCGGTGTTTTTTTGTTTAATCACCACCTTAGGCAAAAAACAGGGGGGACCATGGGGGCCTTTTTATTGTAACTTTATATTTTTTTTGGGGGGGGTGATAAATGTAACCTCCCCCCAGTCCAGTTTCATAGCTTTTGCCGGGCAGATAGCAAAGGTATGGAAGGTAGCTGCACTTGTCTCTTCGAAAGCTTCAAAGTTACATTATGACCCCCTCCCCCACAAAAGACATGCGCTGACTGGAGATCCCTGGGCAAGTCTGGGGAAGCACTGACAGACTTACAAACAAGGTACAGACAAACAGAGGGGGTGGAAACATGTAACTTGCATCTATTGAGGTCCAGGTCCCCCCCTGTAAATATAGATCAATTAATTTAACTTAGAAAGGTTGGATGTAAGAAGGGCATGCCCATATGACAATCTTAAGGATATATCTTCAGAAGGGCATACCTATTTTCTGTAAGCTGGGAAGCTCGGATAAGCCAAAATTGGGGAGAGCACCAGCAAATCTAGAGAAACAACATCTACTAAGAAGATACAGTTTAAGACGGACATGACATAACTAAAAAAGAAAACGTCAGCTGGGAACCTGAGATAAGCCAAAATTAACATGTTTGTGCAATCTGTGCATGCTTTCCGATTTGTCCCATAATTGTAGCTTACATTTTCCTGAACGTCCTGAACAATGAAACGTTCATGTTTGCTTAGACCGTTTCAGGCATGTTGGTACCTGGAAAATGTAATGCTACATGTTCTAGGTCTTGCCTGGAAAACGTAAGATTACATTTTCCAGGTACCAACCTATGAAACATGTAAGTTACAATAAAAAGGTCCCCCCCTCATGGTCATAGGGATCTTCCTTTTTGTTCAAGAAACATCTCATTTCGAAGTGTTCATGAGGTTTTGTGGACATGATGTTTGTCATTGGAAAGAGTCTAAAAGCTTTCTCTTCCATATACAGGGCTTCAAGGGTAAACCATACTCAACTCCATTATATAACAACCATTTTACTGTAGGAACTATAGGAGGTACATGGAGTGCTGAGGACTATGTTGTTTCGCTCCTTTTGTGTCTACAAGTATAGTTGCTAGTAACCTGATAAAGCGCCCACCATTTTGTGGTGAGACGTTCGAAATCGGACTAGTATTTCATCATGAGTCCTGGAGTCCTCGATGGTTGAGCTTATTGATGTAACAACTTGGAAGTTGAAAGCATGATGGCAATCATTTCTATCGGAGGTTTGGTTTATTCTGGGTAATTGTGTTTTATCACACACCCAAAGAAACAGTATACTGCCAAGTATTATACAGAAGGTATACCGACTGCATGATGTTCGCCCGACAGGAATTTCATCCAACAGGAATCGTGGATAGAGGAGTGGCAGGCGATATATTTCCATCGTGTTGCTTCGTCAGCCCAACTTGTTTGTCCCTGTAGTTGTTGTTGAACATTTCTAGAACATCAGACCTATAGCCTATATAGTTCCCTTTGCATCAGAATCAAAGCTGTTTGCTTGGAGACACTTCAGCTTAAAACGCACCAAGTTGGCCGGGTTGGCCGGCAACTTCAGTTGGTCGGCTTCCTGAGAAACCGGGTGTATACACCACGCTGGAGCGTGACATCAGGAGCGCTTCAGCTGCTGGGCATGCTCCGGGGCCCATGGCGCCCGGATGGCAGCATGGTCAGCTTCAACACAGGCATTAGCGCATGCGAGCAGGCCGGCATGGGCGGCATGTCCGGCGATCGCAGGCCCAAAGCCAAGCATGGGACATTCTAGGGATTGCAGGCAGTTGGCAACCATGTAGTATGGGTGCCCTTGCTTTGACGGTCTCTTTAATTCCCTTTCAAAGTCGTGTTGATTTCCTAGACCCTGTAATTGTGCGTGTCATTCTGAGCAAACCCAATGGAGTTTGGCTCGCTTGCAGATTCTAGATGTTTTGAGAGACATGCTTGTGGGGCAGTCAGGGATCCACGAAGAGTCTTTCACATCATTTGAGACTATAAGCCACAACATGCCATGACTTTGAACCCATTTGACCTCTGTTTTGAGAGGAAAAGACAATGTGTTGGCAAGTGTTGGCTCCAAAGCAGGGTTCTCTCAGAAATGGCTTCAATAAAGCCAAGCTGATGTTCACCTATTGCACTGATTGGGCTGCGTGAAGAGCTTGATTTAGTAGCTTCTTGTAACTAGTAGCGATGCACTTGTTGCTTGTTGGGGATGGAGATGAAACCTTCACTACTCACTAGGTTTGCTAGTGTACGAAGACTGTCAGCGGCGAAGTCACTGCTTCCTCCAGAGGCAAAGGGAATTGTCTCTTGATGAGTCAATGACAGGTTCATGGGTGTCACCAACACAGATCAAACAGATCATTCACTCCACTGAAACATTTAATTATTGTTAGCCAGTCTGTTGGGGGGGCAGTTTCTCATAGCACACAAGTGCCCTCATACTACTTGGACAACATTCATAATCTAATTACGCAAGTTCCGACTTTTGCCTGGGTTTCCCTGGCTATAGGCAATAAAGCATGGGACGAGGGCGAGGAACGGGGAATCTGCCATGACTTACAGAAATGATGAAGTTCAAGCTTTCCTACCAGTGTTTAAGATCTACAGGGGTTCCAAGTTCGACATCCAGATGAACCTTGGCATGATAAGCCATGTTTAAATACCCTGGAACCTACTTGCAGGTTCGTCTGACAGAAGAAGTACAACTCTTTGGGCTTTCCTCGCAAAGAGCACCAAATTGCTTTCCCGGGCTTTGCGCACTATGTTCAACAACTTCTGACTGCATGACTTCAAATCCAACTTCAGCATTGCCCACCCAGGTTCACTGGGTTCACTGCTCGCGACCCTTCGGTGACCCGTTGACTGAAAAACACTTCACTTCGAGCGATCCGACATCAATTCTGGAGACACTCGCCTGAGAGGTGAACCTTCCGGTCGTAGCGGTGGCCTCCAACCGGTCGCAGCGGGGCGAACAGATCACGAAAGGTAGCTTGAGCTACCTGAGTTCTCCTTGCTTTAGCAAAAATATATTACAATCAGGAGTTGGGATTGTGCATTGAGTTTGGTCCTGTAAGAGTTGATTCTGTTCGTCGGGGGGGGATCAAATCCCCCCTGCGTCGGTTCACGCCGTCATGGACTTTTACCAGGGTTGCTTGTGATTGCCTGCTACCTTTCGTTCACCCCCTCCTCTCTCAAGTTTTCACGACCGGCTGCACGAACACTTGGGGTCCAGGCCTTGCGCTGGCCGACAGCTTTAGAGTTCCTGCAGCTGCACAGTCTGCAAGGAGTCGAGACAGAGGCACGGGGACCGGACCGGCGAAAAAGAGGGGACCGAGGGACAATGGGAGCAGGTGGGAAGAAGAAACTATGAAATCACCAAGGTGTTAAGTTGGGGTCTCCTGTTAACATGGGGCTCCCAGCTTGATTTTCCCACATTTTCCAAATTCTTTCGCGCCCACTGGGTGACAGACCCCAGCTGGTGGGACATGGAAGACAAGCACCACCAACAAGGAGACTGTTCCACATCACTTTCGTCGGCGCAGTGCAAAAAGGTGCGTGTTGATCAAAAGCAATTAATTGCCTTTCTTAATCTTTCTTCCATCAACAACATCGCCCACATTACTCAGCATCGCCCACTTCAATTTGCGCATGGACACAGGTTGACTGGATGAAAGGCAGGGACTTTCATGACTGTCTCCACCCTGCATTCAGGAGGTTGGTTATATGATCAGCAAAAAGAGTTTACTGCCAATGCACAGAGAGAGTAGAGCTAAACCAACACCAATTGCGGATTTTCACCCACTATCCGCTATACAATCCCACCTTTTCACTCTGTGTGCCGCCACCAGACCACCGACCCAGTTCCCTCACTCACGCATGCAACACAGCGCAGGTCGTGTCCTTCAATGCAGCCATCGGCGCCACAGGAGCAGCGCGAAGCTGGCGATGGGCGTGGCAGCTCCTTGAACGCTGCCAGCTTAGGCTGCTTGGACAAATTCCCACCCACATGTGGGACACGTGGACTGGACAAATAATGTGAACATCGAAACTGGATGGCCAAGGGAAATGTAGCAGAGTGAGATTTCGTTTCGGATGCATCATCTTAAGCTTTATTTGTTTTGCCTTTTCCACAGCGACCGGTGGGTCGACCCCTTTGTCTTTCGACCCAGTGGGCGATCGGGTGGCTCGTTCTTGCCGCTCAGGTCAGATCCTTCGGAACGCAGCTACACCCAGATGCTGGCAGCACTCTCCTGGCCATCCTGGAGCTTGGGTCGCCCCGCGTTCGAGGGTTTTTTCACGGCGCGTGCGGTTTTGGCCGACATGGGAGCTTTGCTTCGACGGAGTACGCCGGGGTGGTCAGTTTTAGAGTCAATCCACCGGGTCCAACTCCAGGTGGACCGGGTCCAGCAACTGGGGGGTTGGTCGATGGGTCCAGTGCACCGGAACTGCCATGCTTTGCGAAAAACAGAACCCAATGTCGTTGCCAATGACTGGAAGATCGGCAGATCGGAAACAACATCAACTCCATGGAACTTGCATCAGATTCCTAGCTCTCCAGAGAATGAGAAGTTAACCAGTTAAACTCATGTTTGAGAAATCAAGGTATTTGGGATTGAATTAGCTCTATCTCTGAACTCTGAGTTGTCACGCTTCACTTTGAAATCCATCTTCCGTTGGACGTTCGACCCAGTGACCCCTCAGCTCCGGCGGCCGCTCGTCGTGACAAAAACGGGATGTTTTGAGTGCGCACCAGCCTTTTGCTGTGTATCATTGACACTGCGATCCTCCACAGTACCTTCGAACAATTAAGACATGACCCTATAATAAGGGTAAGGACTTGTACTATCTTGTACTTGGAGATTCCAGGTGGATCAGAGGAACCTGGAATGGGGTGTCTCCAACACCTGCGAGACCACGATGTCTCTCGCTTCTACATTTGTTTGTTTCTCTTTTCCTCTTAGGTCTAAGCCTCTTCCAGGAGACGGGGAGCCGGATGGGGAGTGGATCGCCCCTCCGAGCGCACGAGGGATGGAATCCCTCGGAGCTGTGAGACACCTTCCAGTTGGACCCCATGGAAGAAGGGCAATAGACCAAAAATCATTGGTTGGTGGTTTTCCATGGTTTTCCAATGTTGTCCATATAGTTATATTTATATCCCATCTATATTTAAGCCATGATCTTGCGAGCCATCCCTTCGTACATGATTAACCAGATTCATGTGGCAAACCACCCAGGTTCCTGTTTGCTCCACTAACTTGCGGTAGCAGCAGTGGTGACCAAACCTGCACTGGTGACCCGCTGAGTCAAGTACCAGTGGAACACCCGAGCCACCCGAGCTCATGAACTGCGACGACCACGGATGTCCACCTACAGGCCATGTCGGTGGTGGGTTTCGACGCCTCCACTGGGCCCCCCATCTCAACCATCCCAACTGGAGAGCTTTCGTCGTGTCAAGCAGAAAACCTACGCATCAACGGAGAAACAATTCCTTAATTTGGTTCCCGAGCGGAGGAAGCATGGATGAGATGCGCCATTTGGCTGGACACTTTCGACCTGTTCGAAACGCAATGTTTGAATCTTCCGACCAGGGCCCCTTCAAGAGGTGACTGAGACGTCCGAACGAGAAGCTTTGAAGACCTTGGACGCACCCTCAAGTTGCTAGCTACACACTCTACACGCTGGCCTACAATGACCTAATGCAGCAACACGTTTTTCACGATCCATGTCTTCAGAAGGGAGCACAACCAGGGTGCACATCGACTCTAACATCCAGTTGTACAGATCGAGCTCCTTGCGTTTAAGAGTAACCATAGCTTCATGTTTGATGATTTGGCTGAGATGATCCTATATTCTTGTAGATTATCCTCAGCTAGAAGTATTGTTTTTGCTACAAGTTGGCAAAACTCAATGGTTTCTCGGATACTTTTCAGTACCGACATCCATGTCAGACCAAGTCCACCCATGAAAACCTTCCAAATCCGAGAAGTTTCTAGTGTGTGTGTGTCCTTGTAATTTTTGGTGGAACTTTAGATTGTATTATAGAAAAGAACTAGCGGGCCATTGATTCATTCTTGATCGATTTCCCAAGCACCTTGAGGACTTAGAGTGATTTTAACTTGCGGCCCAAACGAACCTCCCAAACGCTCGATTCGCCACACACGTGTCGATTCCGGTCGAGCGAAGGAGCTCAAGGGCGAGCGAAGGACAGCTCTGGAGGCGATGATGATGCTTTTGGCTTCTGGTGTAGACTGTTGGCCGATGGCCTTGCAACTTCTGCAGGAGGCGCCAGCCAGATGGCCGTTTCTGCGCGGATGCGTTTCTTTGTGTTTCTGCGGATGCCTTGAACGCAAGAATTGGGATGTGGAGGAAGGGGAACTGAATCAAAAGCGGAGATCCTCCGCACTTGACATGGAGATCTTCCGCACTTGACATCTAAAAAGCTCTAAAGTCATGAGGCCGTCAGAGGCGTTGCTGGATTTTGTCAAGTATGGAACCAGCTTGTGGAACATCATTTGAGCAAGCACTTTCATTTGGTGTTGACCACAGTAGTCTACAGCATGCTCTAATTGTTGGTCCAACATCAGTATTCGCTGGTGAACGAGATAAGGGGGCGTAATTGAACGAGATACTGAGATACTTTTGTTTGATGACACTAAAGTAGTCTGAACGAGATACCGTGATTTGCCACTAAAGCAATCTGAACGAGATACCGCAACATGACCATACAAAAGCATACTAAAGCTAGTCTAAACGAGATGGGAACCCCACACATAGTGTGTTTGAATGTATTTGAGTTGAACCAATCAATGCCGCTCATTGAACTCCCAGACCGTCACGGAGCCCAACCCACCTTCCAAGCACCCCGAGCTGGCCTAGCCGTGCTCCGGGACGATGTGGTGTTCATGTTCGAAAAAAGCGTGTGGCGATCTGCATTTGCATCAAAGCAAGATTAGGGACGGACCCTGAAAAATCCCACCCCAAAAGGCCACAAAACACACCCTCTCCATACCCCTCTCCCGGTCACTCACCGGTCGCCTTCGCTCTTCTTCCGCGGCCGCGGAGCCTTCGCCAGGTCACCGATCCAAGTCCTGTGATGTTGAGGCGACCACCAAGTGATGGGACGTTAGAATTCGCGACGAGGAGAGGAAAACAACAGAGCCAACCTGTTCAAACAGGTCCAACCTGTTTCAAACAGGTTGGATGACAAGAGAAAACTAAGAGATTGTAATATCAGGACTTCATGGTTGACCTTAGGACGCTAAAACCACTTGTTTGTGTTCCCATGTCTCAGTCTATATTGGATTTGATTTGCTCCATGATGCTCCATGTTTTGCCAGCATGATCACGTTTATATACTTGTTTATCATCTCCCATGTCACCTATAGCCTATATACAACTGCTGGACGCATACAGGGAAGTCGATTTCTGCAACTACTCGAAGACCAATCCTGCCAGGTATGCCCTCCAGGCCTGCGAGTGCGCCCCGCAATGGCCCAGACATAGTTCCAAGTTCCTTGGGAGCAAGGTGGGTTGCTTTGGTCTCAGCCCTGCATCATATGACGAGCAGTTGTTGTCCTCCATCAGCACCTGGCAAAGAAAGGACATGAAAGGACATGTTACATACGTGGTGCAGGATCTTTTGCCATTGACACGAAGTTCCTGCTGTTTAATACATGCCTAAATTGGAGGACATGACCATGTAGACTAACCACCCCATTGAATCCAGAAAACCTATGAACACGTCACCAAGTCATACCAAGTCCACAGTAACTTAGTATACTACACCGGTGGCGTTCCATCGCTGGTCTGTGTTGAGTTTGGGCACGCTCGGGTGCAAGACCTCCATCTTGTACCCATTCTCCCAGGTACTTGTACGAGCTGAGACCCACTGGGAGTTTGGGGGATTGAACCTTATTCCAGGGCCCTTTCTTTTCGAACCACATCTTAGAGGTTAATTTATGGGCTCATGACAATCCTTTCCTGAGAGGCATTGTGTGCAATATATTCTCGCAGTACCCGCTTATGGAATCCTCAGTCGCACGATGCATATTGTTGCTTTGAGATATTTGGCATCCCAATCATCCCGAAGGATTCACACTACTGTTTCAGAAGATGGTTGTGAATCTTTAGTCCATGGTTCCTCATGGCCCTGGGAAGCAAAAAACCATGTTAAACCCATGTGGGGCACGAAGATCCTTTTTTTAAGCAACAGCAAGAGTTTTGTTTCCTAAAAACAAATTGCCCTACCATGAGGTCTCGGACTCCCGGTGAGTTTTGAAACCTCACTGGCGGACTCGTCCGTCAGGCTCCTGGCGGGCGTCGCGACCTCCACACTGGGCCGACTTGGCACGAAAAGATCCGACTCTGCGAGACGTGCAACGAATGGACGTGCAACGAGTAGACGAGTAGGACGCCACGCCGTGCAGAAACTGCCGCTGAAACCTGTGGGGAGTGAAACCTGTGTGTTTTTTTTCAGCAAAAGGACGAGGTGGAAAACGGTTTTTGTTGGGGGGAAGTGAGGGAATGTGAATCAGACAAAGGTTTGGGCCGCGGACAGAGACAGCAGCCAGTATTGAGAAAGGATGAGAAAAACACCTTTCACCAGCCCATGGCTTCGATGTTCACTTCACTGGGGAGGTCCGCTGGACCCAAGATCAGACTCCGTCAGACAGCTTGGGCACTAGTGATCGGTTAGAATTATTATCGATGTTATGTTCATAAAGGAATTTGAAGCCCCACCCTGAAGTCACTGAAGGAATTTTACGTGTTGTTTGTTGATACAATGATCAACTAAAGACAGATATGTTAAATTCTGGGACAAGAACTGTTTGCCACAATCCAACGCGCAAGCGAGGGCAGAAGATCTGGTCGAAGCAGCGATCGTTTCCCCAGAGGTTCCCTCAAAATGACAAGCAGCGGATCCGCTGTGCTGAATGAATATGTTCGAGATATAATATATGTCATATGATGTCTATATGTCTATATAGTAATTTAATATAATGGTATGTATCATCATTAGTATCATGAACTGCCATCTTCAAGGATCCACCCTTGGCACCCCGAAAACAACACGCTCCGTCCTCTTCACCGTGGTTGGTGCGCCTTCCGATCCCCCCACGACGGGACGACGCCCGAGCTGACGCGGCGTGACCGAGGACCAGGTCGGTGCGAGCGTCCTTTTTTGACACGGCCCAGACATGAAGAACTCAGACATGGAGAAAAACAACAAAAAGAACACCTGGGGGGGGCCCTTCATGAAGAGTTGAAGCCACATTGTATGTCCATGGTAGGCTTGAGACAAACCGGGATGTAGCAGATTCTAAGCAGCTTCAGCGGAAGAGTAGTACAAAGTGGCAATGAAGCCAAAAGCTAGCCTGAGCTAGAACCAAAGACAGTTTATATATGTTTAATATGTTTACATACATAGTCCATAGATGTTGAAAGGTTATACGGGAATGTGCTCGTAGTTGGGAGTCGGTGCACTTGAGGAAAGCAAAAAAGATCCCATGTGCAGGCTGTCCCCATGGTCTTTAGGCAAACAAGCTAGTGCCCAAGCTGAGGTCGCATTGACCTGTGGACCCTGTGTCCAAACCATTGCATGGATGGACACACTAGTCACAACCCATGCAAGGAAGATCAAGGAAGCTTCACCGCAAACAGAAGAACACCAATTCCAAGTCGTTGACACTTGCCAATTTACGACAGTTTGCACTCAATTGAAACCTGCTTTTGCCACCACTGGCTTCTGTGACGTGTTGATGGCCACATGAGGCACGGGCGTGTATTGGACCTGTGTCGAGCATGGGTGTGGACCGAATTCGCATACTGTGAGGGTTCATGAGGCTTTGTATACCTGGAAAACCGTTGGTGGCACAACTGGCCGTATCTTCAGGAAGAAGTGCAATCTTCATCCATTCATGAACATAATAAATATAGCTATATATACATAGGCAATCATAATCTAATAGAAACGTACAAGTATATAAGTAACTTCCAAGGGGTCTCCAATCGACTACCCACAAGTAGCCTGTGGGTGTCCATTTAACACACCTTTGAAGGTCCGGGTATTGAAGGATATGATGTAATTTGTACTCATTGAGGAATACTTACAGTATCTTATAGTCAAAATCATTTGAGAAAGCAAAACCAACCAAACCTTCCAAGCACCATTGGATTGTAGCGCACATCCTTTTCTCACCTCCGTACTTAACCCCATTCGGTCTGTGAAAACGGTCGCTGGGATCGCTTCGAGTGAGTGAAGCCGCACACGACTGGAGGCAACTCCGAATGACTGGAGGGCAGGTCACATCCAGCAACCCTCCCGCCCATTTGAACTGACTGGGGCAGCTTCTCAGGAGTCCTGGCCTCATGTGGGTGGCTGGAACGACTGTCATATTTTCTTAACTACTCAATGAGGTAGTTTGGATCAGGTTTGAGTGGGTCAGACTGGACTAAGGATTGTCTTCTTGCCCAGAGGTTGAGAGACCTGAACTGAGACCTTAGTGATGGGATAAGCTATTGGCTATTAGTGATGGAAAGCACAGCTCTATAAGTTAAGGTTTCCTTCCAATTTCTTCTTTGGAACAGCCCTGCTCATCCCTGAGCCACTCTGTTTCGATCACCACCAAGCCGTCGGTTTGGGACGGCGGAGGGGAAGGGATGCCTGCCTACTGAACCACAACCCACTTAACTTGAAGGGCACCAAATAGCCTTACAAACAAGGGTAACGAAGAAACATATGATAACATACGTTTTTTCTCACAGAAACCTACTATAAGAAAAAGAATAGTTTTCACCTTCAAAAAAGTTGGTATAAGATTCCGTGGGTGTATATACACCAGGACTCACACCACGGGGGCCCCTTATATTGACCTCTTTTGGGGGACTATATATAGACACATATAGGGGACCCTTATATATATATATATATATAGCTAGAGCCATGCAACCGAGCGTCACACAGTGTCACACCCGGTGTGGCCATCGGCTCCGGAGCACAGGCCGCCGTCGGCACCCCGCTCTTCGCGGCGGCCCACGTTGACGCTGACCCCGGACCTCAAGGACACGCGGACCCCGGACCTGGAGAATATGCGGCGGAGTGGATGAATCATGCGAGAATACTGCAGTTAATGGACCAAATGGATAAAACAAGATCCGAAAGTGTAGCGGTACCAATTCATGATGTTTTGCGGTCACCCACATTGTCAAATGCGCAAAAGAAGGACAGTCCGCCGCCATGTGCTGGGACTTTTCCTGAACCTTCAAGACTGTTCGCAACCTCGAAGACTCGAAGATCCTCGTGGTGTCCAACAGACAGATGTGGGAACAGAGCTTTCTATTTTGGAGTCGAAGCTGCTGAGTCCCGTCTGATGGGAACCCTTGCTTTGAGGTGTCTTCCGAATCTCCGGTTTTGCAGCAAAATTTGGAGGTTCGGTTCACCTGATGTTTATCGGGTGAGTCCTTGAGATCTCGGAGTGAGGTCACGAAATGTCCTTGCAGAGGTCATGCAGTGAGGAGACGCTTCAAGGAGGCCACAAACTGAAGCTCCCGGACAGCAAATCCAAGCTTCTTTGGGGTTTTTGGAGCGCCTCGTGGCATGTCGCGGAGACAGCGCGGAGACGTTGCTGGACTTGGGGTACAAGGCACTTAAATTCAATGCAATTATGTATTTCATTATAAGTGTAAATTGATACCTCAATTTCGTTTGGTCATGTCCTTTGTGTCTCAACAGACCGGTGTTCCTTTCCGGTGGCGTCGAAAGCACTTTCCGCAGCGGCCGGGCTGCCGCCCTCCGCAGGAGGAGGATGTGGCGAACACAGGGCCACTCTTCCGACGAGAGGAGAGCGGAAGTCCTCTTCCGGACGAGCCTCGATCAGTTGAGTGAGTAGAGACAGGCCTGAAAGGAACCAGGGTGAAATCGTTTTTTGAGAGATGGACGGATTTCCACGAACTTCGACTGTGGGTCCTGTAGAGACTGGGAGACTGACCATGTAGACGAGGCGCTGGTTTTGAAAATCAGGAGACTGTCTCAATCGACAGTGACTTGGTATACCATGTGTGTTTTGCTCAGTTGGTCAAATTTGTGAATAACTGCTTGTTGGAAAATGTGACGTTGGATATCATATTTAATCCATTCCGGGTCCATTCCGGACAAGTTGAATCAAACTCCTCCTTGAAGTTCATGTCACCGCGAACGACAGGGTTTCTGGGATTCCTATGTCCACCGCCTCAGCTGTAGCACGTGACCGAGTTGCATGTCATGTTGGCCTGCTCGCCACCCAGTGCAACTTCCCCAAAGACCAATGCCTTGCTATCCGTGAATATGACATTCACTTCCACCTCCACGTACCTGGCTGCCCTGGCTGGTTCTACTAAGGATCGGATTGATGCTACCTTGGATGCCAGCATGGAAGAGGATGCCCTGAGGCAGGCCTCCAAACAGGAATAGCTCGTGGACACTGTTGGAATTGACTGGGATGGAAGGCAGACTGCTGTGCTGTTTCAACTTTTGAGGAAGTGTCAAGTACCTTTTTTGCGATCCCACCGGATGGTTATCATGGTCATGTCCGACATGCCACATGTTGCACATCTATATATATATATATAAGCTCCCTATGGATCCAGGTACCTTCGTAGAAGGTGATTGGAGGTTCGGAGGGTTCAAGTACCTTCTGAGAAGGTACTTGGATCCCTGGCGTATATAATGGCGCTCTTGTGTGGTTGTATTTGAGAGCTGTACAGCAGTCAGAAAACAGAACAAGCTAAACAGCAAGAACTGACCAGATGTTCACCCTGCCTATTTTGGAGTGTCCACGATCATCATGTTCCTTTGGTTTCCCGGTGCAAAAACGCTTCGAAGCTTCTGAGCTGTTTGCGTTGAAGAACTCTGCGAAGCCTTACATTCAATGGTATGTTTTGGAACATGCAAGTGCAGTTTGTCCTCCAAACTGGAAAACTTATGCATGCTTTCGGACTTCTGATCTAATCCAGGGTTGCCACGCCAATTTTTGGTACCGGAATGCGGAAACATAGAAAAAACAGCTGTTGCTCCCCAAAGGCAGACACAAGTTGCCCCTCGGGGGCCCAACGACCGAGTCTGAACTTTCCACCACAATGTGGCTCCACCACATCCTGCCAGCAGAGCTTCCTGTTTGAAAACGAGTCAGCTAGTGTCAGCTAGCTGGAGTTACTCTTGCTTTAGCAAGTCAATCTTTTTCTGGGGGATGGAATTACCTACAGTACCCAGTAAATCATTCAGTGTAGACATCCCCGCCCGGGTTCAACTCGCCCCACGTCCACGTCTGATTCAGGAATGTGTCGACCGCATTGGAGAGGACAATCCACTAGGTAAAAATTTGACTGTAAGTCAACAAGTCAACGCACAAAAACCAGATACCTTCCATCCAAAACACAGTCCATTACGCTCTCCGCTACCTCTCGCCACATCACGTTTCCAAGCCAGCTTTCGTCACCAACGCCCAGGTTTATGGAGCTTCCCGTGGAAACCTTGGGGGGCCGGCGCCGGCGCTTGTTGGCGCAGTTTGCGGAGAACACCCACCGGCTGGCCTGGGGGGCGGACGGGGGGTGGTTTGGAATTGGAGATGGGGTGGAGACTTGTGGGGATAGGTCTCGGAGCACCAAATTGAACGCTGGGTAGTTTATAGAGATGTTGGATGCTCAAGCTGTTTGGGATGATTGAAACCCACTGACGAATGTGTGTCAAGTTGAAACTACCAACCACTTTCGGGGTTTGTTTTGAATTAGATCTGCACTGCAGGCACCAGCACGTTCAAAGGTGTCGGTCGAACCTGAAGTGACCCACTCCGCCCAAAAGCAGACCAGATCGAAGAAGACGTCCGTGCCAACACCATTTCTTGGCTCCAGTGGTTGGATTTTGGATAAGTTTGGTAGCACATACCCTGGTGTTCTTTTGCATGGATCTAGCATGGTCTAGCAAACGAACGTCCAGATCATGTGAAGGCATGCCCTCAGACCTTAGACATCCTTAGACACCTTGGATGTGCTGTCCAGGAACCGGGAAAATTACAAAACAGCACATCCCTGAAGGGGATTTAGCCATACAGGGAAAATAACGATAACCATGAGCAATACCACCCTTGAGATGGCTTGGGCATTGGGTCCATCACTGCCAGCAATTTTTGGAGACCGACGACTTCCAGAACCCCCAACTTTCTTTAAGGCCGTAAGCTCCTTCATCCACTCATTCATCCACTCCGGAACAGAGTCATACCATACCCGGTCGGACCTGGTCGGGAAGTCGGACACTGCATGTCCATCTTCGAGCACCATCTCCGGAGGGCTCCAGATTCATCTCAATCTCCTATGAAAATAGGGAGACCTCCCAGGCGTTCCGACCCCCCTGGAAGGACCATGGACCAGTCTGCCCAGCTCCCGGGGCGATCGAACCATCTCCCTCTTACAGCTTTAAAAGGCCTCCGGGGCGCCCCGGCACAGAGACGAGCTGAGGAGTGACCAACCAACAGAGGTTGAAGAACCCTATACACTATCCTATAGGTACCCCGGTAGGGTCCCATAAGGTCACTTAACCTGTTGGAAGAGGTGAGCTTCTCCGCAGGATGCCTGGCTACGACGAGCTGAGCAGAGCGCGGTGCCGCTCCGCGAGCCCAGCGCGGAGGAGTACAGCTGGCGCCCCCGCAGGCAACGTGCGGTGCGATCGGTGGAGGAAGTCGGGCGTGTGCGTTAGTCGGTCTTTCATGGTCCTACTGTAGGCTCTAGGTGGACAAAGTATTCAATCTCTTGGTGGCACTGGCTGGCACTACCCCCGCATGTTGGGGAAGGAGGTTGGCTTGAGTGGACGAATCAATCAAACCCCTGACAATCAGAATGCGCTTTCACCTGTATAACATTGAAATCGACGGCACGGGCAAGGCGATCTAACATTTAGGGTTTGATTCTGTCTCAGCTGTTGTGTTCCATACATTTTCCTACACCACAAATGTTGGTTCAACATATATGGTTGTCGATCTAAAGGTCCTAGACAGCATTGTGTATGAAGATGGCCCGGAACATATCAAAATCTCATTTGGCAATTTTTTCTCGAGTTGGCGAAAGTTTTCGAAAGATCTTGCGAAAGATTAAATATGTACTTTTGTATGAATGTTCATTTGCTTCCTGAACAGCTGGTGGCAGTGACTCAGAAGTTAGATGAGCTGTGGAAGTTAGATAACCTGCTGCTGCTGCTGCTGCTGCGGCTCCTCCTACTACTAGTAACTACTACTACTACTACTACTATTCCTGCTCCTGCTTGGGGGGTGGCTTTGCCACAAAACTCTACCCCGCAAAAGGCGAAAGTTTGGCGAAAGTTCAGCTCAAGATTGGCGAAAGTTCACCCTGCCACATCTGACCCCCAGCCCATTATGAGTAAGTTTGAGTGACCGGCTACTACAGTGATTCTTGCAAGTTTGATTCTTGCTGACACCCAGGAGAAACAAAAGAGACGTACAGGGTGTCAACAGTTAAGTAGAAGACACATGCTGACAAACAGTGAAGTTTCTATTTTGTGTTTGCCAGTAAAGAAGAAGCCATCGACGTGAACAAAACACAACATACATGGCACACATAAATACAACATACTTCGGCGAAAGATAAAACGCAGGAAGGCGAAAGTTTGGCTAAAGTATTTTTGTTTGACGAAAATGACGGATCCCGGATAAAGGAATTTAGAACAACTCCCATATATATCATTGTGTCTTCATCTCCAAGCATCATTGCCCATTGCGTTTGATGTTTGCTATGAAAGGTGTATGCGCATCATTTTTGTGGTTCTTCTTGGTGTGTGTGTGTCTCCTTGGCGCGGTATAATTGTGTCTGTTGCATCTACTGTCAAGGTACACTGTACGCATGAAGGTCAAGCTTCTGGTCTTGTTGTCGTTCGATCGTAGCAACTCAACGAGAGATTCGGTAACGGAGAGCATCTGACAAGAGGATGTTTCCAGTCGTTCTGTGGATCACCCTTTGCGCTTGTCACAGACAGATGCCTGATCGAACGAATGATTGCCTTCATTCACTACTGGATATCATGCAGCCCGGCATGTCAGGTGCAGCTTCCGGCAGTCGGCAGCAGTAAGCAGAGGAGTGTTACGCATGCTCTGCCGGAGCACATATTTCTCACCGGTGTCTCTTGCATCCTCAGGATATATCGCAGCCACTTGCCTCATAGAAACGACAGCCTCCAGCCTCCGCGACATTGTGACCAACGTGGCTGCAAAGGCAAAAAAGCCGCTGTTCAGGGCTTTGCAGACAGGGTTGGCCAGCAAATGAAGCAGCTCGGGTATGGCCCGGAAGCTGTCCAGCAGATTTCCCAGAGCATCCTCGATTGCAAATTTTCAAGTGATCTATTGAATTTTTAAAAAATCAATCTTCGATTGAAACTTGATTTTTACAAACATTTTTCAAAACAATTTTTCTCTTAAACTTGAAAATTCGATTGAAAAAACAAACATTTTCGATTGAATTTTCGATTGAAAATTCGATTGATTTTTTGAAGGAAACAACCACTACATATATAATCATATATAGGCTGGATTGCCTCCAACTGTTCATTACTTTTGGCTCCAACATGGGCTGGATAGCCCTTCCCTGTTGCATGGACTGGAAAGTCCTTATCTTCTGTGGGCTGGATAGCCCTTACATCCCTAGAATATTCAAGTTGCATGGACTGGATAGTCCTTATTATCATCTGGTTGGACAACAAAGCTTTCTAAACTTGTTGGTTGCACACCTGCATCACCTGCAGCCATACAGCCATGTCCAAGAAAAGGGGTGGCCCTAGGCGCACACCTGTGCCCCAGATAGATGATGAGCGTCTGCTGGACACTCTCCTCACTCATGTGAAAAAGGTTGGGGCAGGCCAAGCTTTTGCATTGGGCCCCTATTTGCATATGGAAGCCTCTCAGGCTGTGAAGGGTGCTGCACTGGGAGATCTTCTACATGTGCTGGAGGCCTTGCACAGGGTGAGCCCAACCTTGGAGTTCAAGTATAGCAGCCTCAAGAGCGCTCTCACACAGGTGTTGCAGCAATTCCCAGCTACAAAAGAAAAGTGGCCACTGTCTGAACAAGGCTCTCTGGCAAAGGACTTGGCAGACACCATTCTGGTGATTTGCAACCATGCCAGAGGATCAGCAGGGACAATAACAAGTTTTTAGAAGCTGCCAGCAGGCTGACAAGCTACCAGCTGGAGAAGTTGGAGGCCATTAGAGAGATGGTGGGGAAGAAGGAGATGCCCACTACACCACCAAGGCCTGTGGACCCTACCCCAGCTACCAGTGCAAAGTCTGGTGGGACTTTTGCTGCAATCAAGGATTTTGACATTCCAGCCACTCAGGAGTCAGATAGTGGTGAGGATGAGCTATTCGCTTCTGCCAAGAAGACCTTGCCAATTCCTACTAGGAAAGCTGTGCTGAAGGAAGAAGTGGCCAAGAAGAGAGGGATGAAAAGACCAGCAGCAATGAAGAAGCCTGCTGCAGAGAAGGATGGCAAACAAAAAGTTGAACCCTTTGCAGATGAGTTCAAGGTGGATGGCCCTTTGTTGTGCATGCCTTACAAAAAACTTGGCAGCTGTGCTGTGAGGATCAAGAATGGAAGGCAATTGATCCAAGTGGTCTCACCTCAGGGGCTGAAGCATTCGGTGCAATTGGCCAAGCAAATGAAAAGGCTGCTCGAAGATGGAAAGAGCTTAGGTGAAGAGAAGGCTTGGAAGCTGAAGAAGCTTGCATCCTTGGCATAGCTGGGCTGGAAAGCTCTTTGTACAGCACATCAGGGTATTTTTGAAAACCATGCTGGACATCAAGCACTTGCAAAGAAAAAATGTCTGGTCAACACACTGGAGGGTTGATAGCCCCAATACACCCTAGGCCCTAGACTGGATAGTCCAAGTAGGTCTGGGAAAGTCCACTTAATACATGGACTGGAAAGTCCATTAAACCACGGATCTTCATGAATCATCATGGGTCTTCATGGATCTTCATGTGTTTTCATAAGTTTTCAAAAATTACACCATGGATGCTGATAGTCCCAAAATTACATGGACTGGATAGTCCATTAAATCATGGACTGGGGGATGGTCCTAATATTTTTTGGACTGGATAGTCAAAAAAAACATGGACTGGAAAGTACAATATAAGGCATGGACTGGACAGTCCATAGGGATGAATAGTTTAAAGTTTGTTTCATGGACTGGATAGTCCAAGTACACCACTGGATAGTTCCAACAGTGAGTGTGTTGGAAAAGCAACGTTTTTTGAGGGCTTGTAGTGGTTCTTTGTTTCACCAGCAACTGTGTGGCCCAAAAGAAGTCTTGTCAGCAACCTGTGACTCTGCAGCTTTGAAGCCATGAGCAGCCAATGGGGAGGCCAATGGGGCAACTATGGGCAGCCCTACTCGGTGCAGCCAAGGGCAGGAAGTGAGAAAGGTGGAGGAAGTGAAAAAGTGTCCAAGGAGTCGAGTGGGGACAAGGCGCTGGTGAAAAGGTGCAGGGCCTGTGAGAAAAAGGCTCAGGAATGTGTGGAACAGATATCCAAGCTGCTGGCCAAGAAGGGCAGGAAGGATGAGGTGGTCTCTGCCTTGAGCAAGGCTTTGGCAACTCTGAAAGAGTGTAAGGCTGCAAAGTCTGAAGCCCTAGATAGAAGCGCAAGACCTCAAGGGCCTGTGAGAAAAATGATGCAGTCGCTTCAACAGCCTATGGGCTGGATAGCCCATGCAAATAATTCTTGGACTGGATAGTCCAAATATGTCATGGACTGGAGAGCCCAAGCAAACATGGACTCGATAGTCCTCCACTTGGTTCAGCTTCTTTCTTCAAATCGGCAGCCAACTGTGGAGCAAATGTCTACGCCTGCAGCTTCCATGGAGCCATGTGCCTTGTGGGTTCTGCTCCTAAGAAAATTTGCGATAGGCAAATTGTCTGCTGTGGAGGTCCAAGAGCTAGCTAGTGCCTAGGCAGCTTGGGCCACAACACTGGCAATTGCTTTAGAGATCTCACAAGAAAATATTTCTGTGACCTTGAAGCACCTGAGCCATGGAAAGTGTCTTGTGAAATGGCAGTGAAAGAGGAGGGCCACAAAGTGGAGAAAGTGCAGCACTGCTTTCTGCTGCTGCCACACTATTGGGTGTCTGCACTGCAGCAACATGAACTGCTTGGCAGTTTGACTTGCACAGATGAAGATTTAGCCTTCTTCTGGAGCACTCAGATGAACAGCCCGCAGATGACACCAGAGCTCAAGGCTGTGATTCGAAAGGCGAACCCCAGCCAGCTGCGTGTACCATGGCTTCTCCATGGTGATGCAGCTCCCTTCACTGAGGTAGACAGTTTGCAAGTGCTCAGCATGAGGTAAAAAGAAGTGTGTCTGAAAGCCAACTCCTCATCGCTGCTATTCCCAAGCTGGCCACCGCAAAAAAAACTTGGGTGGAGATCATGGAGACACTGGCTTGGTCTTGGAAGGTGCTCTGGGAAGGGGTGTGCCCCAAGAAAGACAAGGATGGCAAGGTTCTGGACAGCATGAAAGGAAAAAGGATGAGGACTGGAGTGCTGTGGTGTATCACTGGGGATCTGGATTGGTTTGCTGAGGAGTTCGGCTTTCCATATGCAGCAGCAAATTTGATTTGCCCTTACTGCAAGGCCGACCAAAAAAAACATGACAGCACCATGCCTTTCACAGATTTAGATCCTGTGCAATGTGGAGGTCCTCTGTACTTTCAGTGGCCCAACTACACAAGAATTTCCACCACCCATTGTTCAATGCCCCATGTGTGAGCATTCTGTCGGTGAAGCTGGACATCTTGCATACGTTGGACCTTGGAGTGGCAGCCTACTTGCATGGGTCCCTTTTGTTTTCCATAATGGAAGAGCTGCCTGCCACCAGCCGACCCTTAGCTGCAAAGATTGTTCTTTTAACGACCAATTTAGCAAATGGGCTGGACAGCCCACCCCACATTTGCAGCCTGAGGACCAGAGAGATTGAAGCTTCTCAACAAAAAGATTGTGGAGACCCATGACAAGTTGAATGTGGAGGCTGCCAAGAGGCTGAAGCATTTGAGTTTGAGTGATTTGGCAGATACAGCACAGCAATACCCTGGCTTGCAGCATTGCAAAGCAGCAAAAATTAGATGGTTCACCCCTGTGGCAGTGCAACTGGCCAAAGAATTCAACTCACACAAAGCAGGTAAACGCAGGGAGGCAGTGGTGAAGGGGCTGGACAAAGTGTATAGCTTGCTGGCAGCTGATTGGAAAAAGTGGAACAGGCCAGCATTCCAAGCTTTCCACAAAACAATTGAAGACTTCATGGCCCACTACAGGTGGTTGGCCAGCAATGCGTTGAAAGAAGGGCTGCACCTGTGGAGTTTAGTGCAAAAATCCCACATGCTTTTGCATTCGGCTGAGCAATCTCAATTCTTACACCCAGCCCTTGCCTGGACATACGGCAGTGAAAGTTTTATGGGCTGGATAGTCCAAATTGCCAGCAGCTGCACAAGTGGCACTGGACCTGTGAAGCTTCCTCTAAAAGTTTTGCCAAAGTTCAGATTAGTGTTTCACCTCTACTTGAAAAATTGCATGAGCATAGAAGAAGACTAGACAGAAAACAAATGCATGGCTGAGTGTGCACTGCTTGCATTTCACAGTTGAATTTTGCCACAAGTGATTTGGCATGGACTGGATAGTCCAAAGGCACTTTGGCTCCAAGCCCTTCTACCCAGACTGTGCAGCAATGGATGCAGCTGGTGCAAAGAGAAGGAAGATTTGCTATTTCAAGGGTGTGGACACAGCAAACCCAGCTTTGTGGGCAGCTGGCTGGAGGCTTGACCTGATGAAGACTCACAAGTGTTGATTCCTCCATCCCCTAGCCCTGAAAATGGTGAAGTGGAAGAAGGTGAAGAACCTGGAGACCTTGAGCCAAAGAATGGTGAGCCAGAAACCAATTAGATGTACAGAATGGGTGTGGAATTGAGTGTACAGGAATGAGACCCACCCTGTGGATTGCTACAGGGCTGCCTGCAAAAGAAAAACTTTGCACATGCTTTGTGATTGGGTTGGGTTCATGGATGCACTGCACTGTTTCAAGATCATGGACTGGATAGTCCAAATCTAGTCCAAGTAGCTCTGGAAAGTCCAAACAAAACCATGGACTGGACAGTCCAAATCTATAGTCCAAACAGGTCTGGGTAATCAAGAACAAAACATGGGCTGGATAGTCCAAACTTAGTCTTCAGGTCTGGAGAGCCCAAATGAAACATGGACTGGATGGTCCATGTCTAGTCTCACTAGCTCCATAAAACAACCTGGAGGCTCCAAAAATGCATAGGTAAAAGTTCACCAAACATGGACATGATACCCCTGAATTGAAACTTCGATTGAAAATGCATCGATTGAAACTGATCAAATTTCGCTTGAAATTTGCACACCTCCTATTTTCGATTGAAAATTTCAATCTCGATTGAAATTTTTCAATCTTGGATGCTCTGGGTTTGGTGCCTTTGCATGAGACTGGCCTTTAGGATCCTGTAGCGCTAGCTGTGCAAGGAGGCCCTCCACGGTCCAGAGCAGAGCCCATGGTGAACAAACTCGTTGTTTTTCAGGAAGCTCACGCAGGTGATAGATAGCCTTTCCATGTCGCTTTTCAGCTCGCGCAGCCGAGATCATGGAGCGCGGCAAAGCACATGCTCTGGGTGCGAGATCATTTGGCTTGCCACTTCTCCAGCGCGCGCTTTCGGTTCTGGAGCGCCGTGAGGTATGGCCATCAGCAGATCAGCAACCGGAGACCAATTTGCTGAGTCACAGCGGCCTTGGAACGCTGACATCTGGAAAAGGAGGTGGGAAGAGACAAGCAGAAGCAGAACGGAAAGTTCGCTTCAGCAAACTCGATTTGACTGCCCTCATTCTGACCCAGTGCTTGAAAAACCAGGCGGTGCCAGCGCTTCTTGAAGGACTACTTAAACCGAGGCAGTGGAATGGGGGTCAGCGAGAGAGAAAGATGCGGCTGAGCGACAATCTGATTAAACTTTCTGCAAAGCTGCGGACGGCGAGTGCGCCCATGGATTGGATTGCGGGAATGCAAGGGCAGCTGCTGCTTATTTGGAGGCCAATGCAAGTTCTTTGTCCAGCTTGCTGTCGCGCTCAGGAACGTCTTGGTGGCAGGTCCATCCAAAATAAGACGGCCGCGGCGCCAATGATCGTCGGGCGTACCAACCTTGGTCTTGCTGTTCGATGATTGGCAATGTCTTCCACAAGCCTGCTTTGGGGTCTTCTTTTGCCCAACGCAACATCGTGAAAGGGAAGAAATTTTCTTCTGGGATGACTACCACCCTGTGGAGTATGGTCAGCACCTTCTTAGCCTTCTTCAATGCAGGCCAATCGAAGTTCAATTATGGGAACAGTGACTTGGAATGGCATCGAGGTTGCCTGATGACTGCCAAGGCCAAAGATTTGTGGAAGCCATTGCCATGGTGTGGATGAGGAGGCCACCAGGCACATGAAAAGCTCACTGGCTACCCTTTGGACTGAGCCCAGGCTTTCAGCACTAGGGTGTTGTAGAGTCACTCACTGAGCTTAGTCCTGCGGACTGGCAGAGCTTGGTCGCTTTCCAAAAGCGCCTGCATTTTGAACAGACGCCTCGTTGCTGCTGTGCAAAGTCGATGCCAATTGGCAAGTTCACGTCAATGTAGAATCCGCGTAGCCTGGGAAAGAAAGGTTTGTGTTCCGCTTGTTCGCTGTCCTTGTCACCATGGTTCACGCAGTTTGCGGTGCTTCAAGACAGCACGCCCGAGAAACAGGCGTGCATCTTGTTGTCACTCAGTTTATACGTCCTAATTATTGCATCATATAGCTGCTTCACCACTCGAGCGAGGAACATGGCCCTGACAAATGTTTGCATCGGTCTACATGAAGGACATGAGAGCCATAAAAACTAAGGCCTGGCAATGCCAGTAATGCAATCACCAGCACCGTCCCCCCAGCACATCCTACTGTCAGTTGTTTAAAAACCCAAGGGCCAAGATCTGCTGAGCTCGTTCCCTCCTTCTCCACCCCGACCTCCGCCGAGGCTGAGGGGGTCCCGCGGATCCGGTCGAACCTTCCGGGTCTTGGGACCGGTACGGCAGGGCTTTGGCATCAGGCGCCGAACGCGTTCGTTTGCGCTAGCGCAAACTTCGGTGATGTTGATATGAGTGTTTGGTATTATGTGTGTTTCTTTTGGTTGGTCAATTTGACATGATTCTTGTATGTTTCCTGTAAAGGTTGGTGAAGATGGAAAAATGCCCCGCGGGCTGGTTGGGACCTGTTAGGAGAAATGGGTTCTGGTGATCTATTGGCTGTGAATTTATGTTTTGTATTGTTTTGTTTTGTTTGGAAATGGTGAGAAGATTTGGCCCGAGGTTTGCTGTCACGTGGAAGTCTGTGACATTGTGAATGTTATTTGGGGTTCCAAATGGTGCAAATTTCAATTGTTTTGATCTTCAACAAAAAACAGTTGCTGAGACTGGCAAAACATCTCGCGTCAGTCCTCGGCATCCTGGATAGAAAATTTGACAAATTAGGTGGGAAGGAGGGAACTGGGTTTTCCATCATGTTCTATGCAATTGAAAGTGCAATTGAGGACTACAGATGCAACAACAAATGTTTGGTTTGTAGTTTCAGGTGTTTTTTTGCTGGAAGTAAGTATGTTTCTTGCACTGGTCAATGTTGGACAGCTATGTAGCATTGTTTTCCTTGCTTCTATGATTTGAATTGAACATGTTTTGACGAGTCTATTGCACATAAGTTTTTGCTCTTGGGGATGATTCTAAGTGTTACGCCCTGTTTAGCCTCTATGGTCAAGCATCCCAGGATTACGGGGCGCATGCGTCGAAACAAGTGGTAATAGGTGGCATACGGTGGCATTCTTCCTCAAAAACCCATGTATGGAGTACATTGATCCCTGAAGACACCCAATGTTGGTAAATCGGCCGTACACAAATGTTTGGGGGTTTGATTCACAATCACACACTCCACGCAGTGTTCTCATGTTTTCTCCGTTGTCGGCACCGGAGGAAGCCGCGGAACCACGCAACTTGGTTCTTCAGACGGAGGATCGGGGGCGTAGGCGGCCTTCTTTCAGCAACAGCCGACCCCTGCAACTGTGTCAATAGCGACTGACTCGAACCTGTGCGAAGAAGAGTTCGGGAGTGAATCATGTAATCAGATGTCATGGTACAAAGATGGCAAGAGGTGTTTGGGGTGTGATCCTGGACCTTGGTGAATGGGAACTGAAACACACCTGTACCCTCAAACAGCTCTTTGGTGACAATCAATGCCCAGAAACCTGTGGGTCGGGCCTCTGAAGAGTTCCAATACCACCTCTTGGAAGTTCCTGGCAGTTTTGTCTTGTGGATTGTGGTGATTGTGGTGTGTTTTGCAAGTCTGTTGGTGGTCCCCCCAGTCATGCCATGTATTTTAGTGTATAGTGTATGGGTGGGAAAAGAACATACTCGGCTGGATATGGGGGGTGTGATGATTCGCCGTGTTGCGATGTTGGGTGACTTTGGCAAAGTTGTTCTGAAGTTAGTGTCGTTTGGGGAAGCTCGACCATCGTTGACTCACACAAGTTGAATGCAATCAACGCAGGAGGACCAGCTTCAACGAGCCTCTGAGGTCACTTGCGTGGATGAGGCTGGAGAAACCGTGGATGTCAGGTTGGCATGGTCAGGCTTGTGGCAGTGATGAGAAACATCAAGAACCATTTGAGAAGGATTCATTGACATGGTTTTGCTCAGGGCTATGTCATGTTTATGCTGGCTATGTGTCCTGCAGGTGAATCCCCTTGTGGGATCATTTCTGTTTCCTGGTTCCTCAAGCAAATGCTACTATATACGTCTTGGTTACAATGGTATCATACAAATTGAATATATTATATATATACATCTTACAGTAGTCTTCAATGCGTTTTAACCGGTGCTTGGAATCTGCCCGACGAGTCTCCTGGAACGACCGTGGCGCGTCGTTCCAGCAGCCTGCAGTTGTCCAACAACCATTGGACCCTGCTGTCAAGCTCCGGCGATCCCAGTACACCGACGATCCTGACCCTGAACATGAGCTTAACATGGGTTGGACCATGTTCCTTCACAAGCCCAGTGGTTTTGAGAGTGTTCACCTGCAGGAGGATAAATTTTGACGCGTCCACCGAGCAAAATCAGGCCATGGCCTATGGCCGGCCCTACATGACCAATGAAGTTCACCCAAAAAAACACTCAAAAACACTCAAACAAGTCAAACAAGTAACAAGATTCATCAGCTGATCCCTTCATCCATCTTCATCCATTTGGACTCATCCATCTTGAGGCGGACCAATTCCGCGCCTTTTTCTGGCGGTTTTTTCCCTACTGCGCCAGGATCTTCTCCTGAGCAGGCACGAGCAGGGAAAGCACCACGCATGAAAGCCCTGCCATGTCCTGCTCTAGAATTCATTGTAGAATTTTTGCTATGATTTTTAGCAGTGTTTGTCACCGAGAGGGGTCATCCTTTGCGAAAGATGAGCTTTGCAGGAGTTCAGCACTAAATGTTCACCTACTCTATGGGGCAGGATTCCAGGATTCCTGGTATTTGGAGTAATCTTCAGAATAGTTTGACGTCGAGAATCCAGAAGAGAGAGAGAGAGAGAGCCTTGCTACTTTGGTGCCAGAACAGCGAGTGGGATGAAGATGAGCCGATGTGACCGATGTGGCTCCGACCGAAGATGCCAGACCGTATCTGACAATACCATTGAGTGTCTCTTCAGAGGTGGTCTCTTGAGGGAGTTGCCATGTAAAAAACCGCCAAAAGTGATCCTTGAACCATAAAGCCTGGCAAAAGTGAAGGATTTGCATGGGGCCTAGCCCGTGGGATGAGGATAGTAGGTGCTAGTTCGAGCGGTCCACAACTATTCACCGAACTTGTCACCCGCACCTTCGGCAGCCGAAGAACATGGTCACCTTCACCGGCAGAAGGAACATTTGTTGTCCAGTGCCCATGAGAAAGCATCCATGGAGTAGTTGCCTATACAGTAGGGCCATGTTCATGGAGTAAATCATGGTAAATGTATGTGTAAATGATGGTAAATGTATTGAGTCTATCCTATCACCCGGGCCCAGTGGACGATGATGGTTCAGTTGCAGGCCAAAATCTCAAGAAAAAAGTGATGTTCTTGCCCACTGACTGTTACGGGTAAGTTCGGACAGACCCAAGTTAATAGGTATAGTTATAATCATGATCTTTTCTCCATCTGGTGAACAGATCGTCAGGCTGATATACAATCATGTCTTTCGCCACCTTGTTGCTCCTTTCACCTTGGGGATCCGGAGTTCTTTCGCAGGTAGAAATGACAGTATCCAGGTGTTTCAGGGCGCGGTTTCAGGCGCTCTCAAGGTCTTGCGTGTGCCCAGAGGTCTTGGAACTGCAGTACCTTACCTTCTGCATTTGGCGGAATGTCGTTGGTCGCCAGGGAGGAGCATGAGATGATGATGCAATGGGAGGATCGCTGGCAAGCTCAGGACAGCGAGGAAACTGCGAGTGGTTGCAGCTCCCTCACAGGCAGCCCCCTTAAAGAAGGGAACTAGCCATATATCCCATTGGTCGGGGGGGTCTTCCTATTGGACATCCAGATGTCCGTAGACACACCCAAGTACTTCTTCCTGGATCACCCTCAAGTTAGGGCGGCAGATGGTTACCGATGGTGTGGACTGGAACAAAATCCTGAATTGTCCAAGTACCGGCAATTCGGGAGAGTTTCTGTGGCACAGAGCCTCCATTGCAGGGGATGGGTTGTTTTTGAGGAGGGGTTGGGATTATGATTGAATATTTCAAGGGAGTCAGATTAGCTACAGTATATATATCTGTGGCAGCTCCCAAAGATGATGCTTTTAGATTGTGGAATTGTTCTGAATCCCGAGGTTCAGATCTACCGCGATCATTTAAGTTGCTTTTAGCCATGCGAGGCTACAGCCGCATGCCGTTGCTATCCGAGAAATTCATCCCAGTCCAAGTCCCACCTCTCCGACTCACCCGGAATGACTGTTTTCCTCTACAAACACAATTGTCAACTTCCATGTGGCGTAAGAAGCCGGAGAGCTCACATGTGGCAGATGTGAAACACACGGGGAGATTCTTGGTGCACAGCTCCAGTGGAAAACGACTTGAGAATTGCAGGAGCTAGAGCAGAGAGAAGAGTTTCTGCAAGGAGGAGCGGATGTTGGGGACGATCTTCCGGGAAGATCCCTTTTCTGAAATGGATTGCCGTGGTTTCTTTCAACGTGAAGTTTCTACCGCAACAAAAACCAGTAGCATGAGGTATTTTCTCAAAACACCGAGAATACCTGTTCTTTTGTCCAACTCTCAAGGATTCCTCCACCCAGCTGTGTCTTGGAGAATTCTAAGGCATGCCGCCTCGTTTTCGGGGGACTGAGCCACCCTCAGCGCGGGTTGGTCCCGCGACCGATCGGTCGTCACCGGTTGGACATGGCCGGCACTGAGAGGGTCGTTTGGAGGCTTTTGGGGGGTTCGTCACCACTGAAACTCTGGCGGCTTCGCTCCTGGGAATCCCTCCGGAGCTCCTGGTGTCTGGTCGAATTCACAGCTAAAGTCAGGTCTTGGACGTGTGAGATCTCCTGGAAGTCACATGATGTCACATATGAGTCTGCCAAGCCAAGCAACCCCCAAAATTTCCCAAAAGTCCTGGTCCTTGTCATTTATCATGGGCCCAGGAGTTCTCAGCTATCATGGGCCCTGGTTGTTTAGGGGAATCAATCAAGAGCCACTCTGAAGAACTGACGGTCACGGCTTTTACCTAGCGGCTGACGTAAAGGTTTCAGACCATCACTGTATTCAGATCAGGTGTTCCTCCAAGCTCGTCGATGACGAATGAAATAGCATGAAAATAGGCTATTCTGCGTAGGTGGACACTGGACATCGATAGGCTCCATGTATGGAATATATGCCTACATTGACCCCCCAAACCACCCAATGTATGCATGATTTTGCACGTATGGCATACATGGAGCGTCTGGGACATGCCATGTGGGGCCTGAAGCCATCCGTTTTTTGGGCTGGGCATTCTTGGACCGCTGGGCATCGTGTGGCCTTGGTTCTAGCACCAATTCAGAAGAACTGCGCGAGAGAACCTGTCCCAGACGCTCCATGTATGGTATATATGTCTAGATTGACCCCTGAAACCACCCCAATGTAGGCATATATGGCATACATGGAGTGTCTGGGTGTGTTTCTTGTTTTTTCAATTGCACAGTTTGAGGCCCAAACACAGTTTGTGGAAGGTCGTATACGTATAAGCTTGACACAGAGACAAAAGCCTTTGCGTAACAGAGCAAAACGGGCCAGTTACACTTGAATCTGCTAGCACCACACCAGAGAAAGTCCCAGAAGTCAACCAGAAACTCTTCCCAAGGGCTCCATGGCACAATTATGCCCTTCCTTTGGGTGGTCTTAGTGGTGAAGATAAAGATAGGTTTTGCTGAAGGAAGTCAATGCAAAACATAGAACCACGTTGAACTCTCAGAACCTTCCAACAGGTTCCCTTCTTGGAAAATGTTGGAAGGGCCTGGAGGAGGATTCTGGTAGTTCGACTCCCAGATGGACTGCCGGCTTCTCGTCCAGGAGAAGATTGCCCAACCCCATCCTTCGGATTCGAGGCAGCCGCGGCGACACATCTCACGCGACATCACGCGACTAAAGAGTTCAGTTTATAACCACTAACTGCTTTGACAACTAGAAGCTACTAGTAACAAGAAGCTATTAGGTTGGAGGCCATCGCTTAGGTTGGAGGCCATCGCCACTAGGTAGGAGGCCATCCCTATTGGGTTGGAGGCCATCGCTATTGGGTTCTGGAGGCCATCGATACTAGTAACAAGAAGCTACCCACAAGCTACTAGTAGAACATATATATATATATATAGACATATATATATATATATACGTGGAAACTCAAACAACCAGAAACAAGAACCTCAGAAGCCGGCCCCAAAAGGGGAAGGATTTTGAAGGTCCAGACCCCTGCTTCAGATGTCGCGTCTATCCCTGGATCGTTGGTTCTGAACCGCAGTTTCCATTTCGCTATGACCATCACTGCTTTTGACCGTTCCAGAGGATCCAAGGTTCGGGCTTTCCAGCCTCAGAGGGGCCTCCCGGTGTCTGACATGGCATGCCAGTCAATACCTATACCTTGGGGGTGGTTTGAGGGATCAATGTATGCCAGTGAATCCAAATAAAATCGTAATATGTTTATATGTTGAAACAATATCGGAATATGTTATAATATTATATGACATATTTGATATTGTCATATAATGTATTCCATACATGGACTCTCCTGTGCAAGTGCGGGCTTCCCACCTGTTGCTTTTGCGGGCGTTCCGTGTGGATGCACACTTTGCGAGGCTTCTCCCCACGAGGTGCCGAAGAAGATGAGTCACTCTGAGACCTTAGAGGAGCTTGGGTCCGGTGGGTGTGAGGGTGGCAAAGCCACACGTGAGTGGTCAGACTGCAGATGGCTGCGTGTCTTGATTTTTTCGTTCACAGAGGTTGGCGTATATATAGACTCAGACTTATCATGTAAACATAGACTGAGGACAGTGTATTGCGTCATATGTTTATCCAACCCCGAGGGGCTTCAGAAACAGGTGGTTGTGTGATACAAAGCTTGCCACGCGACCAATCACAAGCATTGAGAATCTCGAGGGGATTTTGTTTTCAGTTCGCGCCACTGTGCCACCACTGGGCGTGTCGATGTCAATCATGAACTCCAGGCATCTTGTTCTTATGAGGTTTGGGCCGGGCACCGATGGTAGTAGACGGGCCTTAGATCTTGAGGGCTTTGGGAGTTTCACCAATTATAAGTTGAGATATCTTGAAGCTGAGATCGTTGAGTCACTATATGTTGAGTCACTATATAATCATGATGAATTGAATTTCAGCCTTCCTGGTAATTAGCGGTGCATGGTGCATACAAAGAACCACATCCATTGTTGAGGCAAGGCAAAGACTAATGTAATGAATCCTTTCACAATGCAAGGGGATGCCCTCTCAACCGACCAAGGATTATGACAGCGACTGCTAGTAATGGAAATTCGAGCGACTTGCAGATGACTCGGAATAAGGCTGTAAGCCTTGAGACTTTTAGGGAACGTGTGACGTAAAAATGACCCTAACGGCCTAACAAAAACAAAAGGAACTGAGATGGCTTCCAATGTCCTCTAAACTCATCAGGTATTGAAGAACAGGTGGCAGCAAAAGGACAGCGATAGGAATATCAGTGGCGAAGACGGCATCAAAAACCAAGCCCTTTTTCCCCACCTGTCAGGTGAGAGTTGTTTTAATTTGCTCTAATTTTGTCATTTGCCGTCGACCTCCTCCTCCTCCTCCTCCTCCGCCTCGTCCTCCTCCTCCGGACCTCAACCGCAAGTGCAGGATGACAGTGGCTGTGTTCCCCGCCGGACCTCAACCGCAAGTGCAGGATGCCATTGTTGTCCGCCAGACCTCAACTGCGAGGGTCGCGTGCAAAATTCCCCGCTGGACCTCAACTGCGAGACACTGCGAGAGTCGCTCCCGCTGGACCTCAACCGCCAGGGTCGCGTGGCAGTGTTCCCCGCCGTTCTCGACCGCGAGATAGAACGCCGAAAAGAATGTCAGAAGACGTGCGGAAGATATGCCAGATAGACTGTCAGAAAGAATGGCAAAAGATATGCCAGAAAGAATGTCAGAAGATATGCCAGAAAGAATGTCAGAAGATATGCCAGAATGAATGTCAGAAGAGACGTGAGACAGAATGCCAGAAGATATGCCAGACAGAATGTAACGTCAGCAGACTTGCCAGAATGAATGTCAGAAGAGACGCCAGAAAGAAGCCAGAAGATATGCCAGAAAGAATGTCAGCAGATATGCCAGAATGAATGTCAGAAGAGATGCCAGACAAAATGTCAATCAGAATGTCAGAAGATATGGCAGAAAGAATGCCGAAATAGTCCTTCAATACATGCCAGGAAATTTGTCAGATTGAATTGTCATGGTGGGGATCACTCGAAGTGCTTAATGACATAGGGGAAATGTAAGTCTTGAAAATGTGTTGAGCAATTGTTCATACCGCGACAAACCACTCTTTCATGGCGAGCTCTCGGTTGAAGATCAACGCTGGTTGGCCCGTCAACACGCCCCTTTGAAAACGATAAAACTATATTTGGTCACGCGCTTCCAGACGCCTGTTATTTTTCTGTTTCGTATGGAAATTGTGCCCTGGTATTCCGCACATGCCCGAAAGTTGTTTAAGTACACCTTTAAACAAAACCATTCGTATTCAGCGACCGGATGCCAGTTTTCCGAGTGCACTCAGTACGTTGTCAGATTTTTTTCCTGTCAGAGTCCTTCTGCATATGTACTGGCACACGGAGTTTCAACCGTGTGACGTGGAAGTGTTTATTTTGCAACTACTCTCTATATCTTTATTTGTTGCGTGGGTGCAACTCCGCTAAGTTTTTGTTGGGCAACTCTTTTACTTCTGCAATCAGTAGTCACATATGTGTAACTGTTTAAATATAATCAACCGCAAGAGACTGAGCGGCCCTTGGCCAGCACAGAGCACTGTTTGGCCATCTGAACCATCGGATTCATGTTCAATGTTCATGTCGGCGAGCCAGTGGACAAAAGGAAATGCTGCAACATTTGATGGTCTATAACAATCTGTACATGACATCAATAGGGAAAGCTCGTGAGAAACAAAACTAAAACGCAACAAGACCACCAGGATCTTCAAAAACGCCACAACCCCCCAGGCAACTGTGCATACCGTTCAAGGGGTTCCCAATGAACTACTCTACACGAGACTACACATATATATATATACCCGTGAGCATAAACCTTACGAAATCATGACCCTGGGTGTCCAGATGTCCATTGACTTTGTAAGGACCCATTTTGCTACCCAGACTTGGATGGCATCTCCATTTCACACCCCTTGGATGCTGTTGGTAGAACGTTTTTGTGACTGTCTCTGTATGTTGTTGTGCTACAACATCATGATCCCCATGCTTCCCCCCTTCGTTCCACCGAGCTCCGACGCCTCCAGCGCCGTCAGGAGGACGAGTTCGCTGCGGAGGTCCGCGCCATTTGCGGCGACACCTCGGTGGAACTTGGACCTCCGGTGGCGCCACGGGAGGCGCGTGGACGGCCGGGGCGGTGCGTCGTTGGGTGAGCTGCGAGGGGTGCCAGCCTGAGCAGGTTTGGTTGTCAGTGGGAGTGTAGGTAATTGGTTCGGTGATTCGTGTTGGAAATGGTGACGTTAAAGCTGCTTCCCTAGGTTCGTTGGATCGTTTTGGTGTTGGACCTCAAAAAAGGAAATGTCAAGGTTTGCCAGCGGAAGAGCTAAATTGCCTGTATCGATGATAGATTTCTATGGACTTTTTCCTATCACAGTGGACTTTCATGACCAGGTACAACAGAAGGGCATCCTGTTGGTATCCATGTGGAGACGAAAATAAAAAGAAACAAAGGATGTTCATTAAGCGAACCAACCACTTCTAGTGGATAGATTTTAGACACGGATTCACATGATTTTTGCTAGGGAAAACCAGGTGTTTGATTGTTTGTCGGGGGGTTCTGCTATGGATTCACTGGCACCTTCTCAGGTTCGGTGGATTGGACCATCGATTCGCCATCGTTGAAGACATCCCGTCACAGACCGGGTGGCCGCTCAGGCGAAGCCTCGAGTGACTGTGGTTGGCGGCTGCCTCAGCGTGCCCTGAGACAGAGAAGTGGCGAAGGGAAGATACAGAAGTAGTTTTAGACATGGTCGTTGTAGTCTTCAGAGATTCGCAGGTGCATTTGAATAAATTTGAATGTGAGACAGATCAAACACAGTGGGACATCATGTATATAATACTATATAATCATATTTCAAGTCGATGAGCTGGTCTTGGGTCTTCAATGCCCTGAAAGGAGTCATACGTGCTCCAGTCCTTTAGTAGAGGGGCTTTGTGACCATGAGCCGCTATACTTCCGTTGAGGACAAGAGACATATTGCAGTATATATGAACCCAGCAGAAGTGCAGTAAGTCAGCTCAACTTCATGATTTTAGTTGTCCAGAGATGTCCAGAGTGCTTGGAACATCAATCCCTAGATCAAATATTAACAATGAACAATAATTACAACACGTATTTTCCTGGTTTGTCAAAGGCCTGTAAAAAGTCACTTTGAAGAAGCTGGATGTGTGTTCTTGGTGTCACGCCCCGTCACCGCTGTACGATTCTTTTTTTTGCGCAATTGCTGCCAATTTCGTATGGTATGCAATGTTTTCTGATTTGCGCAGGGCCACTGGTGGGAAATATTATGCATTTCAATGCTAGCGGGTTGACAACCGGGGTAGTAGTCGTGCACTTTTTATCGAACCACGAAGAGTTTGTACGATGTCGTTGCAATTTTCACCACCGTCACTATACAGCATGTTGTTATGTTGAATCAGGGCAACCTGTTTTCTTCTTCGTACTCGTTCACAGTTCCTTTTTGTGTGTTTGGACCGGAACTCCCTTGTGTTTCGGAATGTTGCACTCTTTGGTAGTAGTGTGTTGGATTTGCTTGGAAGATGATGCCGCATCCAGACATGCGTTGGAAGATGGGTGGGGTGGGGTTGGGTGGGGGGCGGGTAATAGTGTTCGATTGGATGTCCTTGGATGATGATACTACGTGCACACACGCTTTTGAAGATGATGTGCACACGCTTTAGAAAACAAAACACATGCATCCTGGCATCCTCTCTTGAAGCTCGGGGAAATGATGTTTCGTCGTCCGTGGCCTCAAATGACCCTTTAAAAAGGAAAAAACACAACACTAACCAATGCAACTGGTTTTCAAACATGTCCCAAACACACATGTTTTTGGGGGGCGTGTGGCGTGTGTGATCCAAAAGGGTCAAGTTTGAAACGGCCTGATCTTTGTTCTTCAGCTTCGCTGTTTCTCCTTTTGGATCGGATCCTAACGAAGCCTCCGAGATTGAGCCGCCAAAGGCCAACCTCCACTCGAAGAGGAATCCGTGAAGGAGGTGGGATCTTTGGCCTGGCCCTGGAGTTGTTTCTTCCGGACCCAAACACTCCATGGGACTGGCATATTTACAGACATTGACCCTTAAGACCACCTCAACTGATCGGTACATATGCCATACATGGAGTGTTTGGGCCATAGTACAACCATACATGACAGCCGACAAAAGTCTCAAGGCCGCTAGACTGACATGCTGCAACGATTTTGCGACGGGCAGGGGAACAAGTTTCAATTTTGCTGGGCAGGCGTAGGCAACGTTACAACATGTTTACCTTCGCCGGTAGCCCGTAGAACCAAACAATGACCCAGTTTGACCATTTTGGATTCTATGGGGATGCCGTGGTGGTTAAAACATGTGTTTTGGAGTGTGTTTTCGAGCGGACACAAACGGGTTTGTTTACAGATGGAAGGAGCAAGGTTCTTACCCACCCACTGCTTAGTCGAATGTTGGTCACTCGGAAAGTACTTCGGCCTCACGGGCATAGAACCATACAACATGGTGAATGGCGATCATAGATCATGAATGAGAAAGGATCAACATGAAACACTCGCTTTCCAAAACGTCACCGTCTTGATGGAACAGACAATTCCCTCAACACGAATTCCCTCAACTGCCCAGCAGTGACAAACGCTCCCAGCCACGAGCCCATCCGTCCCATCCGCAGTCGATGAGTCGAGAAGAGCGGCTCATGCGCTTCTGCCCCGAGGCCGATTTCGTCCGGTCGTGGACCGGAAGACTGAAGAACCCTCGATCCCTGGTCCTACAAAAGGGTAGTAATAGCTTCTTGTTACTAGTAGTAAGGCACTTGTTACTACTAGCGAGGCACTTGTTTCTACTAGCTTCTTGTTACTAGTAGTAAGTTACAAAAGGGTAGTGGGAAGTTTCATCGGCCAATTGGGGTCCAGTGTTTCCGGTTGGTGGGGCTGCATGAGATGGAATCTTAAACAAGGTGTAGCCTTACCAGGTCGGAGACACTTATGTAGATTCTCTATTTGCTGGAGTCAACTAATTACTGGCAACAAAAACTCAGCAAACTGTTGTAATTACCACAGTTCTAGGACAGAATTTGGTTCAGTTTGGTGAAACCACTGTAAGACAATCTAACCCATATTAAAACATGTTCCTTGGATTTCTTTGGAAGATTAAGTGCAAACATTGGAACATTTTGTTAAGGTGTTTGTTATTCTCAAGGTGTTGCTTCAAGAGTGTTTTGCATTGCTGCTGGTCAATGATGTTTGTTTCCTTGTTATGTGGTTATGTTCTACTTGTTTGGCACCAAAGAAGTAGTTTGGAACTCATGTCGGCCGGCGCCACACTGCGTGGAGAGCACAGGTCAACAATCTAAACAAGTAATATCGAAGAAACAAGTAATATCGAAGTAGAGATCTTCATCATGAAAGTCGAACCACAGCATCCGAATCCATCACAACAAGAAAACATGGTTTGCGCAATAAGGACAGTGTTTCACCTTTGATTGAGACCCCGCAAAGAAACCCCGCCACATGGACCACAGTGTTTCAGCACCCCAAAAACGTCCGCGCCCAACGGCGTCCGCGCTTCGTTCCAGGCTGTGAACCCTGCGTTCTCCTCGGAGATTCAGCAGGTCTTACAGAAGAGCCTGGTTCGTGGCGCCAGCAAGGCGGGTGGATGAGATCGTTTGGAAGCGGTCTCGGTCCTCCGGAATCAAGAAGTCACATATTTCGGCAGGGGGGGTTCTTGAAGTATTTCTTTCAACCTGAAGGTCATATGAATGATCGATCATCGATCCTGTTGCAACTTTTAAAGGAGACATGCCACGCGGGATGTTGGATTTGAGGACGTATTACGTATACATGTTGGACCTGGTGACCAGAATCAGCGAGAATCAGTGTGGTTTGTGTTGAAAGATTGCATATTGCGGGTCATTGGATTCAACTGATTCAACTGGATTCCGCTCCATGGCATTCCCAGCCCGTTTTCGCTGAAGTTGACCGTGGGGACGAAAAAGGCATATATTCTCAGCTTTTGACAGGAACATGATATGGGTGGTTTATAGACCTTCCGGATCCGATGTATGTTCCATCCAATCACCACACGAAATGCGTGATGCTGGTATTGACCCGGGGGTCAACCGGAGACGATTTTTCCTCGTAGGTGTCTTCAGGGGTTTTGCCCGATTCTGTTCACATCTTTCCAGGAACTCTTAAGCTCATTTTTCTGGGACACCCCAACAACCTGCTAAAGCAGACCCCAACAAATGATTTCTTTGGGCACTACTGTACCACCAATTAGAACGCCTTTCTCTTGAAAGTAGAAACACCTGCGATAATTATCCTGTCTCAAGATTGACCTTATTTGGAAACTTATTATCCTGCATAATTGATCAATCTTCAGTCGATCTTCTTCATGTCATGTGTTCCAACAGCTTAATTTAAACCAAAAAAAACACTTTCCAACCATGTGTGTGTTTTTCCCCCCAATCCATTTGGAGCCCAACAAAAACCAGCACGCTTCGCTTAGCGGATCGCTGAACTGTTGCGTTTTCGCGCCTATCGCGCCTTCTTCCCGAGGTGCTCGCGGAGCATCGGGGCCACCAGATGAACTGGGAACGATTGAAGAAGACCGGCGCGGTCGAGGCAGATGAACAGAGGGTTTGAGTTCTGAAACGCATCAAATCCATGGAAGCATGTAATATACATTTGCAGTGGATGCCTTTGTTTTCGATCCCGACGAAGCTTGGCGGTTTTGGCTTTCCTCCTTTCGACAGAAGGCTGTGTTGGTGATTGTTGGTGTTTGATCATTCCCAACCCACAAAGTGTTTCGGCCTACGGTGGTGCAGGTCATGAACGCAAGGCGATGCAAAGGAACGAAGACACCAGCAGCGAGTCTTAGATTCCTCCATCTTGTACGTCCAAAAAACAATGTTTCAACCCTACCTGTTTGTGCTTATGTTTGCGGGACTAGTGTAGTCCTGAATTTTGCAATCTTCCCTGTTGGCAACAAGTCAACAATTCCTTCACCAAAGGTCCCTCTAGAATGTCAAATCTGTTGACAAAACACCAGGGCTCAAGTAAGTTCCAATTCTACTCCAAAATCCAAATCATCTGCACCCATCTGCATGTCCATCGCTGGCTACTTATATCTCAGTCTTTGATCAGCATTCTATAGATTCTTGGGTCCAGCTGCACTTTGCTCTCTTCGCAGCTGCATCAGCTGATCATTCAGCGCTCGCGAGTCCGTCCAGGAGAGACCGGATGATCAACGTGCCCTTCGTCAAGCGCTTCATCTGCATGCGAGGACGCAGCCACTTGGCTTCGCCTTACAACCCTGTTCGTCGCGGTGCGGCTGGGTGAGGCCCTGTTCGTGCGGGGCCCATGGGTGAAGTTTGGGGGAACGGCCCGTGGGTAAGGCCAGGGCAGTGGAGGAGTTGCTCTGTAGAATGAAGAGGAATGGTTGTGGCATCCCAGACTTCTTCGTTGGTTCATTTGACCTTTGCTTCGTCAGGGATAAGATTCAATTCTCTACTTTCGATTCAAAGGTTTCGAGACTTCCTGGGACTCACCCAACTCAAAAAAATGACACTCCAACAAATGCAATATATTATAGATCAATAATGCATGTGTTGACCTCATGAAGTCGCCCCTAATATTGAAGCGCTCGTAACAAAGCAAGACTGACGCCTATGATTACAGACACGAGCGGCGCAGTCAATGTCAAAGCTGGCACATACCCGCAGGTCGATCGCGCTTGCGCATGCGGAACTGCGTTTTCTTCGTCTGCAAGACCGGTGAGCCGGTGACTCGAGCATCACTGGTGACTCGTACAGGTCCGGCGTGCGGATTCCATGGACCCACCTTGGTTCAGTCGCTGGGTTTTCCATGGTTCATCACTGTTACATGGCGCATGCGCCGGATTGGATCCAGCGAACATGTAGCTCCATATCAATACCGTCCTCAACCTATGCTCCCGTATGCTCCCTGTGGTTCCCATCGCTGGGGTGCCCGTTGCGGTCCGTGCCGAGGCACTGGCGCCGTTCCCGGTATCGGGGCTGTTTGGCCACACCACCACTGCGTGGTTCCATGCTCAGGCGGAGCGGGATGGGTCACCGGACCTGCTTGTTCGTCACTCACCCACCGGCCAGATCCCGGCGATCGCTGTTCGCGGAGCGGATCGGTTTTCGGCGGACAGGAGCGGATTGGTTTTGGCAAGTCACGGAACTTTGAGATGATTTGGGGATGATTTGGGTACACCCCTTTCAACCATATAGATGATATATACAGATGGAAATTCAGTCACCGGTACCTGGTTCCAGCGACACTGACTCCAAGAGGTCGGAAGCCGACAGACTGCAGCGTCGGGCGTGACCTCTTGCAGCGTCTTGCAGCTTGGGAACACCAAAGAAAAACGGATGTTTGGCTCGGTTCGAAACCCAAGTTCCAACATGAGATGTTTTATCTTAAACGCTCTATATATACGGGGCTGAGGGATTCTGTGAGCTAATCTTATGCCTTGAGATTCAAGCAGATTCACAAACTTAGGACGGTATTAGGTGGAGGATGGTGGAGGCTATCGCTATTTAGTTGGAGGCCATTACTACTAAGGAGAAAGGACGCTACTTAGGGTGGAGGCCATCGCTACTAGTTTTCAACTCTGGCTGAAGCTAATCTCATGCCTTGAGATTCAAGCAGATTCCATCGCTGCATGTGTTCTTTGATTGTTGAACCATTTGCCATGTCCAACAGATCCAGGCCCGGGAGCTGCTCCATTCGACAAAGTCCTGACTTTACGCAGCTGCGACAGGAGCCGGGTCGGAGTCCACTGGGTGAGGACCACCATGACTTTGAACAGAGGCAAATGGAGAGCATTCGTCCTGAAAGCACTGAAATCAATGCATGTTTAATGCATCCCAAAGGCTCCCCAAAACCACCCACTGATCGGCATATATGGCAGTCCCATTAGTCGTGTCTGGGCATTGTTCTCTGTGAATTCCCAATGAGTCCTCCGAGGTGAACTCTTTTCTGGGATCCCGGCGGTCCTGGACGACGTCTGTGTCGGTCACCGGGCCGTGAAGGGTCGGGGCTGCGGTCGGTCACGACTCTTGGAGCCTCCCAGGCAGTTCCATGGCAGGCGCCCGGAGGTTTCGTGGATGATCCCGAACTCGGAGGCGCAAAGGCCATGGTTCCCCGTCATAGTGGTTTCAGAGTACATGGAAACAATCCCCAAGTTCGGTGGTTTATATAGACCCCTATAATCAAAGACATCGAACGGGGTGCCGGCCTTTCTCACCGACCTCGCTTTACCTCGCTTTACCTCGCCGGCCGACCGTCCTTGCAGGAGCTCCCGAGTAAGGCCGAGCTCATCGCCCGGAAGCGACGGAAGAGGTCCACTGGAAGTCGCCAGGCGGGGCAGGATGCATGACTCACCATGAGCTATGACATAACAAAAAGGCTTTGGTCCACAGTCAAGAGTGTATGAATGTGAATGTGTGTGTGTGGGATGTTTATACCAGGTGAAGTGGCTGTACAGCTGGGAGAGCTTCTGGGTGAGCTTCATTGGATGAAGCGGCCCATAAGAGGTATAACATAGCTCCAAGAGAGTTTACCAGCTCCACATAGCTCATAGACCGCCCTCAGATGTTTGGTTCTGTGCGTTACTAGTGGCTGTTTGTCACTATGTCGAATGACAGACATGTTTTTCATGTGTGTGTGTGCGTTTTATTTAGCTTTTGGTCAATAGAATATGCTTTGCTCTCGCCCAAAGGCTAAGTAGACCTCCTAAGTAGACGCAAGGGTCTAGTTCCCACCCTCCTGGTCAGTGTTTGGAATTTGAGCATCTCTTTTTGGGATTTGGGGTATTTGAAGTATGCCAATCAACCAATTTTGCCAATCCTCTTAGAGGGTTTGGACAGAAGGCTTTTCGCATCCATTAGGTTGAGCTTTGGAGCAGTTTTAGGATTGGTGGGACCTGGTGCACGACTGGTGAGATCAACATCGGCAGACACCCTCGGATTGGTCGGCACCTTCATCGGCTTCCGTGGCTTCAGTCCCAAAAGGTTCTACTTTGTAGGCCTCTGAACCAATCTGATCTCTTAAAGTCTTAGCTTGCCACATTGCAAGCGCAAATCCTGACCATTCCGGACCATTCCCCCAGATTGTTTACCATTTGGCACGATTGAGACGTTGGAATGCATTTGCACACCCTTGCGCAGCCAAAAGATGAACTGTTGTGCGAGTCAGTTGATTTTCTGAAGAAGGGAGAGATAAAGCATGATCAATCCATGACCTTCACCAGGTAGAGATGCGGGGCCCTTCCAGAGATCCTTGGACGGCGGATGGCGTAGACTGGCATAGACTTGAGTTGAAAGAGTCGGCTTCGTCCCAGGTCATGTCAGTCCCAGGACATAGGAATTTCTGGGACATGAGTGCCAAGGAGTATATTGAACATATGCCCAGGTAATAAAAGTCAGAAAGGAGTATTGACATGAGCAGAAATTCCAAGTCGCTTCACTGTAAATCAACGTGGTAGTCATGACCCACCACTACCAACTAGGGACTTACGCACCATGCAGTCAATTTGGATCTCGAGGCATGGTCTTCTCGGGGGATTTTTAACTTCTGAGCTGCATCACTGTATTCCATGATGTTCGAGACATCCGTGTAGTGTAGTGCTTGTCAAGAAAGTCTGTTTTGGAGATATGTTATGGAATGTTATGGACAGACCCGGGTTCTTAGCGGTTCAATCGTTTGGAAACGGCTTGGAGGACCTCTACAATGCGCTTGTTTTTCGTACCAGAAAAGAACGTTGTCAAAAGGGAGAATTGTAGAGGATTCTAGCTAGATTCTAGCCAACTCGTGGCCATTAAGAGTAGATTTCAGAGGAACCGGCATAGCACTGGGAACCATTTTTTCGAACTCGACGAGGCAGTGATGTATGAAGTGATATGTAGTCATTGACCAAGGGGACCCGGAAGAAGAGATGGGCGGTGTGTATTTTGATGGGGAGACCCAGTCGATTTTCCTTCTTCCAGGTGGTCTTTGAGAGGTCTCCCTTTTTTAAGTAGTAGAAACCTATATCATCCCATCATGTTTGCCCTTCAAAAACACAGACATTCCACCATCCGGCCCCCCCCCCACACACCAGAGACCCTTCCGTTCTTCACTCCGACATCGGGTCCTTCGCTCCATCCGTACCACCGAGGAGAGCATCTCTCGCGCGAACTCGCCTCGCCTCTTTGAGCCGGTGCGGACGGTGTCGGCGTTGTTTTCTTCGGGAGTAGCACGCACCCGATGGGTTGAGCGAGTCGACGCCGCCCGTTCACGGGCCACTTACGGCAGAGCCTTTGGGATTGTCCAGATTGAAGATTGTGGAAGTGTTGGACTTAATGAGTCAGAGAAGGCGGCATATTATTGTAGCATCTTGTAGCCATGTTTGCAGACGCAGGATGAGTGCCTTGTGATATCTTGTCCATTGTGATATATGATCGATTTGGATTGTTTATTCTGAGATGTTCTTCTTGTTTCTTTCTCGGCAAGTTTGCTGCCGTTGACGCTTGGGGAGCTTTCGCGTGGAAAAAGAGAGACGACACCTCTCTTGGGGGCAATGTCACCATAACAACCTGGCGAAAACCAGCTGTGTCGTCCATGTGTGCTGTGATGATTTGCTGCGATGTATAGTTTTTGCATGTTTTTGCACTCTGCAGACTCTGCAGGCACACCACAAAATTTGCCGCAACATCTTTCAATCAACAGCATGTTCGAGCATGTTCGCATCAAGAGCCGCTTCCAGCTGAAAAGCTTCTCATGGAAGCGGTTTGCACCTTCGGGAGGTAGAACTGGTCAGATTGTCATGACTATTGTCATGATTGTCATGATGGTAGAATCCCCTTTTCAGCTGGAAGCGGAAAGGCCCCTTCTGACGGTCTTTCACGTCTTCTTTTTTCGTGCTCTTTCAAAGAAACCACTTCGATGGTCGGAGTTTGCGCATCGGATGATGTGGAGGTTTCCGGCATCGCCCGAAGCGGAACGGATTTCATCCACCCCCAATTCGGGCTCCAACTACCTACTCCTGGTCTACCTTTGTCTCGGTAGGGTGCTTAGGGTAGGTGCTAGGGGGGTCTAACATGGTCAGTGCCCCCAAGCCAATGGCACCACGGCCTGGGGTGGCAAGCTGCGCACCACTCGATCCCGTTGGATTTCATCGCCGAGAGGCGAGCTCAGGTGTTTGATGTTTGGATTTCATGGAAAGGCCTCATAGCCTCACGGAGTCGATATACATGAAGTCGACCTCACTTAGACATCACCACTGGTCTTAGGCAACTGAAAATGCTAGTCTGCACTGGTCTTGAAGAAGATTCTTCCAACTGCTCAAGCTTCTTTGTGCACGATTGGGGCGATGAGAGTGATGAGAGTCCATTGAAAGAAAGCAACTTCCCTTCAAAAGGGACCTCTAAATATCTGTAAATCTTCAAGTTCAATCATTTCCCAACCACCCAATCATCCAGTACCCTCCAGCCTTTACAGTCCTTGTTGGCGCAACGTTTCGGTGACAGCTGCGGCAGCAACCTTTCGGGCCTCGCCGCGCACGTCCGGGTCTCACCGGGCAGGGGCGTCGCCCGGAGTGCCAGGTCCTTTGCAGCCCGGAGTGCCGGAACTGGCGCTCGAAGTCGCCCATCCAGCAGCAGTTCGAGCGAGAGGAGGAGCACATCATTGTGGGCCACTGGGCAACTTTGTTGGGGCGAGAAGACCAGAAAGGTACTTACTAGGGGGAGGCCATCACTAGTAGGTTGGAGGCCTAAAGATCTCTCCATGACAGCACCCATGGCATGAAGATGGGCCACATGGGAGATCAAGGATGTGAGTCTCAATCCGATACCAACAGTCACATGGGTTTGACTGTTAAAGATATTTTGCTCTCTAGCATTTTGCATGCCATCAGACTCAGAGTATGCATCACGCAGAAGGTTATATAATCGTTTTCCCTGCTTTTCCAACTGCTTCACCGAGCACCATTGTTTGCTTGAAACTGTGGTAGTAGACCCAGCAGCTAGGCAATCTATGATCACGTTTTGGATGGCCACTTCCCAGATAGCTGTTCTTTTACCCCGCAGTTACTGGCTCTTTCACCTCATCAGGCTTGCTTACTAGAAATTAAGGAACTAACTGTTTCTTTTGAGCAATCCTCCTAAAAAGAGGCCAACAAATGATCTCCAAGTATTTTCGACTTGGTTGAGTTGATGGGTTCCGACATCCACATCATAGAAGCGGGAGGCAATGAGGATGTTGAGAGGCAGTCTTCTTCTCTCCACGCGTGCCTATGGAGAGAGTCATGGATACACGTCAAGCTTCTGAACTCGAGACGAGAAAATAGAAAACACCAGGTGAACACCGGAAAGAAGAGAATGCTGTAATCATGACGGTAAGGATGAACTGGACACAACTGGACCATCTATATTGAAGGTCCCCCCAAAACATAGTATTGGAGGTGATTCTTTGATCAAAGGATGTTGTATCAATAGTTTGTCTCTGGCAGATTCGCAAGAAATAAGGAGTTGGCCCAATTCATCACCAGCTTGGTCGCCCAGGTAGCCAGTGGAGAGACCTTTTGCAGGAGCGACATTCATTTGGGATGGGTCTCCTTCGCTGCCAGTGTTTGAGGGGCTTTTCTTGGGAAGTTGTTTTTCGAATGTCAGCCCTCACGGTTACCTGAATCATGCATCACTGGACAGGGACATCCTCTAATCCGGCCTGAACTGTGAAACATGTCCTTTGGGCCACAAATACCACCACAGCAAATCCCATCACACACTAGCACATATAACAACTGTAATCATCACATACAAAGCCTGAAACGCATATTTTCCCACACCAAAATCCTGATGTCAATCTAGTTCTACATGTTCATAGTGGCTCTCATGAATTCATTGTCTTCAAGTGCCTATATGCTTCGATTTTGAACCGTGCAGTGTGTCTAAGCTTTGTTTGGGACTCAACACGGGTAGCCGAGAGTCATGAAGAGTGCGGCATAGTCTACAGCGTTTGAACAGTTGCAGAGACAGAGTTGGAGGCCATCTTTGTTCGGTTGAAGGATGTTGACGGTAGTGTGCTTTGCGAATGTCGTGGCTGCGCCTGCATTGGCAGCGTGCGCGCGTGTGAACCAGCAAACAAAGACCCTCTTGCATGGGCAGTTCCATCTGGAAAGGATGGTTGTCGCTGGTTTGCTTGGGGCTTACGGGGAAGTTTATTTTCGCTAATTATAGATACATTGTTTGGGCTATCCTTTTTGTTCTTTTTTTGTGCGTTGTTTCTTCGCGTGGAACCTCTCGCCTGCCGAGTGGCCAGACGATTCCAAAGCAAAAAGGATGTTGCAGTCCACCTGACACACACTCTTCATTCAGCCACCCCATGCCTTCTTGTGCATATATGACATTCTCTTCTCGGCTCGTGTGGACATGAACGGCTGAGGATAGTTTGTGTGCGTTTACACCTTGCTGCCCTCAGCGTCCACGTGGACTCTGACAGCAAAAGAATGCCAAGGAATGGTGTAGGTCATCTGACAGCCAAAGCTGTAGGTCACCAAGCAGCCCCAGCCACATGCTTTTGAGAGAGATATCACATCTGAGATGGAACTGTTACGTCCCAGGCGTGGATTGAGCTTTTCTTGTTTCCATCCAAAACGGCTTGGCATAAAGTGTTTCCTCATGCAAACAGATCCCAACCAGGTCCCACAAGGCTTGGAATTCTTGCGATGTTTTGGCGATGTCTTGGAGCAGACAGCCTTTGACGACAATCGGTGAAGTCTTTGACATACCAAAACAAGTGGTGGGATTTCACAGCCGCAGGATTGAACTGCTTCGTTGCCTAAAGGTACATCGATCCTGCATGTTGGTCGAAATGCTATCCTAAAACAAGCCAACAGCAATGTTCGAGCAAAACTTGTCCTTGTGTTGGCATTCCTGATTATGGCTCATATGGTATGGCACAGCTGATGCGAGTGCAATGCTCAAGTCAACTCCCTCGGGCTCTTCAAATTTGAGGGTTCAAGCAGGTATTATGGAGACACTGACGTTTGTCCATTGGTAATCCTGCATGTGTTTATATAATTTATGTTTACTAGAGTTTCTCTGAAGGTGGAGTATTGCTTTTGGGGTTTTGGTTGGAGTCAAATCGATGTTCCCCCCTTTGCTCCGCTTCTTCAAGCGATGTCCACAACCGCTAGCTCGGTGCCATCGAGCGACCGCCAGGAGCTTCGCCAGGAACGTCGGCACCCATGCCAGCTGTCAGGAACCCAGAGCAGGTATGGTCTTACTGGAAGAATCACTTGAATCATCGAGTTTGGACATTCTTCCAGACACATTTTTCCCTTGGTGGTTTCAGAGGTTCGATGGCACTGTTAGGGCCCCAAGATGTTTGCCAGGCAGATGGGATCAGATGGGGGTGCATATAAAGCCTCCCTTCTGAGATTGTGCAATCTCTGAAGCCACTGTAGTATGTAAGATTGGGTAAGAGGTCGGTTTTTCTGTGGATATTCCTTGTACTAAGACACCTGTATATGATTGTATATGCCCGTCATGCATTGGATTTGGATTAGTCTGTTGACCACCATGATTGGGGCACCTCACTGCACCCGGGAACCAGCTCCAAGTACCAACCACCCGAGGGGTCATGCCTAATGGTGATCCGTTTGCTTGTGGATGTTTGCTTCCCAAACACTCCATGAGTGGAATATTTACTTGCATGGACCCCTCAAATCACCCCAATGTAGGTAGAGATGATTGCCAGACATGGAGTGTTTGGACTTGATTTTTGTTTTAAGTCGTTTGAGATCTTTTGAGGTTTGTTCTTACAAGTCCAATCTCCATGTCCAAAGTGTCCCGAGGAGGGGACCTGTCATGGGACACTTTGTGAGATTTTGTGAGCGCTTTCCTCACTCATGCCACTCGAATGACATGTCCCTGTGAACATGGAAGCTTCCACAACATTATGTGACATTAAAAAAAAATAAACAATAAGACCCCGGGCTCAAACGCACAAATCAAATGAATGTGATGAGACCATATTGGCACATCATCTACAATCAGTTTCACGTGATTTTCATTTAGGCAACTGAAAAGAGTCGAAGAGGGGACTCCAGAAGTCTTGCCACCTGAGGAAGTCTCGCCACCTCGGCCAGCAGAGCGAGGAGATTTGGCCCGTCTGCGTCGCGTCTGCGTCGCGTCTGCGTCGCGTCTGCGTGGCATGGGATCGAGACACCGCGACGGCCTCGGACGAGTGGACGAAGCAAGGCTTAGATCACATGGGGTCTCGGATGACCATGGATGTGGCATGAATTTTGCTGGAGAAAAAACAAGAACAACGAGTGTTTTTGGTTGGTTGCCCAGGACATGATGTGTCTGGGAAAGCAAAGAAGACGTCTCAGATCTCCAGGATGATGTCCCCTTTTCTTCGGTGGGCCCAAAACCGACTGGACTGCCTTCGGGATTGTTTTGGGTGTTTGGGGGCCTGCTGTTTGAAGAACTTACATTGACTCACTCGATGAAAATGCTGGCAAGTTTAGGGTTGTCGCATCATGTTTCTTTGTCGCATCATGTTTCTTTGTCGCAACATGTCGCAACCATCTCAGTGCGACCAAGTCAGAGACTTGGTAGGCATGTTGGAGCTGCGATTTTGATGACTCAAGCCAGTTCGTTTCATAAGCGGCTACTCCAACATGATGTTTGTTTTGAACAACTACCATTGCCAAGAAAGGTGTGCTTGACCACGGTCCAATATCTTTGCATTGCAGTAACTAACTACTTTGATTTGGTTGACTGCAGGATTGGAGAACTCCTTTGATGTGTTACAGTCTTCAGCTTTGATAGTACGTAGGTACGTATTGAGCACAGTGTATCCCTAGGGATCCAAGTACCTCCTTAGCAGGTGTTTGGCCCCTCCAGGCCTACAATGGCCTACATAAAGGTGTCTCCAGTCACCCTCTCAGATGGTATTTGCCATCCGTTGGGTAAGCCAACAGGTCCTGTTTGCGCAGGCCAAGGTCTTGAACAGTGTTCCACCTCATTCTTCAAACCTGACACGTGTCATGTGGCCCGCAACATGGCTCCTGGTCCAGTGACCTGAGTCAATCTCACACGGTTAGCCCCGCAAGGTGGCGTTTGGAGTGGCTCCTGTGTCACGAAAGTGACCTTAAACGGATGTTCACGTCGCGGTCCGATGTTGACATGTCGAGGAGGTGTTGGAGACCGTAGAAGATGGTGCATAGACCCAGATCCAGGTGCATGGTTTGCGGTGGTGTCAAGGATTTCTTGCGATCACGGTTCATTGAGATCATAAGATATCACAAGTAAGTCCCTAGACTCTAGACACTGTAAACCCAATCAAGATCAGTTAGGGCCTCTAGCCCGATGTATAGCGGCCAATTCCCTGCACCAAAAACAGAGTGAATCTTGAGACTTAACGGGAGCGAACCCTGCCAAAATACGTTCATACATTGTGTATCTGTATAATTTTATAAACCCCCAAAAAAGGAAGCTGTTCCGCTCAAAACCATTTCAATGAAACAGGTTCTTCTGAGGTAGAAGCTCGCACAAAGGTTTCATGCTGGATGTGCAGATGCGCAGGAGCAGACAGTTGACCGGATGGTCTCGCGGATGAAATCAAGGCAGGGCCCGGCAGGGCCTCTTGTGGCGGGTGCCGCAGGGATTGGACTCATTGGACAAAGACAAAAAACGTCGACCAGGAGACATGCAATGGCCTTTAACCCAGCATCCAATAGCGATGGCCTGCAAGCTGATAGCCATGGTCATGGCCTCCAACCTAGCATCTAATAGCGATGGCGCCTGCAAACGTCGTCATAGCAGGAACCGAAGGAACCGATTAGCAATGGCCTCCAATGGCCAGGAACCGAAGCGATCGGACGCCTCGCTCTCGGGGGCTTCCTGGCCGTACGCTACGAACGGAGCGTTCGGAGCGTTCGGAACCGAAGATGGATCCGGAGTGACATGGAGTGACGGACGAAGGATCCGATGTGATGTGACAGGGGCACCCCGAGGAAAAAACCTTCGGTTCGTTCACTCTATGTGACTCCTGGTTGTTTTACTTTGGTGGGATTTGGTGGGTCATTTGTCCGTTCCGGAAAGGACAAGAGTAGATCTGGAAAACGACTGGGGTTTGCTACTAGTTTTGTGATATACGGGGGCTAGAGGCACCTCAGCAAGCGCATTTGGCAAACTTGAAAGAACAGGTTGGTGGAGGCGTCCAAACCCTCCACAGCGGGGCAAGCTTTGATCATGCTGCTTTCCGGAATGAGACTCAGATAGACTAAGGCCACTGGTCAACTGCTGGTGCATCTTTTGGGGACTTCTGGATCAACGGAATCACTGAACTTGAATGCTGATCCAACCTTGGCGGCGGCGGGTAGTTGGAGTCTGACGAGTCTGTGTCTGGGCACCCATTTTCTGTGGTTTTTCAGATTGAATCTGTTGGGCCTTGGGTGCTGAACAAAGGGGCAAAGAGTTGAACTTTCAGATTCGATCAGATTCGTTCAGACGAAGATGAGCTGAACTGACGCCAACTCGTAGGTTTCATGTAGCTTCACATGCCAGGAACTGCCTTTGGTCCGCCTTCACACATAGTACACTTCCGTTCAAAAGGTGCCAAAAAGGTCCCTTGGCTTCGCTCAAGGTCTCAGACTTGTCGAAGGTTCCGCATGTACGAAAGGCATGAGCGCAACTAATCTTGCCAGGGAGCTTCAGGAGAATGGAAAGCTGGAGGATTGTCCTGATGCTCATGCGTGCCATGGCAATCAACTGAAGAGTGTGGATAGATGATCATCATAATATCATAGCTAACTAACTAACGCATTTTGTACATGATACATACAGCTAGCGGCTAGCGCATTTATTATGTATATATATAGTATATAGTCATATAGTATACTTACAGCTGTATATAGTAGATGATGGTACCTCCCAGAGTGTGTTGAAGACACATCACGAGGCATTCGCAAGTGCTTCGCAGAGGTATTCCTGTCTTTGGGACCCGTAATCCGTTCGGCGGCGGCTGGAGTAAACCGAACGGATTCAAACGCATTGATTTATATACATGTTAGCCATATTTAAGCCTGATATCCTGAACAACCGAGCTGTTTTACTAAGGATTTCACACTACAAAACCCACTCAACTATTTTTAGAATGGTCTTGGACTCCCAGGGGGGAGGGGAACAACGGAGGGAGGCACCTCGGTGAGTTTGGCATGTCTGATCAGAAATCCCCGGAACCGCCTGGAAGTACACTGTGCGCCTGGACGCAGGGCACCACGACTCAAGTAACAGGTGGAAGGTCTGCAGTAACTGTAACAGGCCCGGAAGGTCTGAACTCTGAACAGATGCTTTTTTCTCCTATCCACTGCCCTCCTCTGGGAGCATGATTGTCCATCCGATGCTTTGATGTACGGGTCCAATGGTACAACCCTGCGAAGGTCTGTCGGACTGTTCAGACTCCTGGGAAATCCCCCATGCAGCCGATATGACTCGTCGGCTCCGCGTCTGCCGAACGTCATGTAAACTCTTGATTGATAACCCCCCCCAACTTAAAATTGGAAATCCTCTTCCAGCTTCTTCAAAGTGACCTTTTGAAGGTTCCTAAGTGACCCTTAGGAGGCTTAAGTGACCTCAAACCAGGTTATCAAAAGGTCACTTTGAAGAACGGGAGGGCTTATTAATCCAGACTACATTAGACGATCACCAATCGATGCGTGCATGGTGTTCTTTTTTTTTCACAAGTGCCCGCGTTTTGTTTCTTTCCCACTATAGTAACAATTTTAAGAAGCTACTAGGTGGAGGCCATCGCTAGTAGGTTGGAGGCCATGGCTACTATAGTAGCAAGAAGCTATTAGGTTGGAGCCATCGCTAGTAGGTTGGAGGCCATTGCTACTATAGTAGCAAGAAGCTAGTAGGTTGGAGGCCATCGCTAGTATATCGGTTGGAGGCCATTGCTTTACTACTAGTCGCAAGATCAGTCTTTCTAGCTTCGCTATGGGCGGGTCAACACCGCCCCTACTCATATGCACCGCTTTGTGGCCGAAGCACGCCCTGAGCCACCGATCAAGTCATCAGCGTTTGGGTCCATCGTCAGTCTGAGAAGTCTTGAGGTCGTTCAAGTTTGTGTTTATACCCGGCGTTTGAGACCGGAACATCATGGATCCGGGCGACCGGCATGGACGTGACTGGAAGACGATCGCTTCCGAAGACCAAACCGGACCGTGGAAGACTCAGGTTCCAGGTGGGTCTCGAAACCAGGGCGTATAGGTTTGCCTACAGCACAGCTAGGCTCTGGAGTAAATTGACCTGGATATCTTTCATGGGGGCAGTGGACGTCACTTTTTTGCGGTTCTGGCCCCGACCTGTTTGGAAACGGCATTCTTTGGAGAACAGAACCCCATTGTGTTCCCTTCCTCGGTGGTCCGTGGCGGTTCAAGATGGCCCGGTAGTGGTCAACATTGTGGTTAAATCCCAGAAGGTAAATGGTTTGGGGTTGGCTTACCAACGTATAGGTTGATTTGTCATGATTTGTCCAGTCCCATGGATGATTGTGTCAGTTTTGGGCACATCTTCTCGTTTGTTCTGTTGGTGCGCTTTGTCAGCTGCTATCGGGCAGGTCCCAGTTTTGTGTCGGTACCAGGGTCTTTTCCAACACTTGAGGTAAAACCTTGGTTTCAACCGGTGGCCTCATCTTGGTACTGGACGCGTTTCGGTCCCACCGAAGCCAGCGAGGCTCCATTTGGTGCGCGAAGGGCGATTGGAGGCGAGGCCGGGAATAGGACGATTGCGACAACCCGCGTGGCACGTGGGTCACGTGGAAAGTTTGACTCTCAGCATCATGAAACATGGAAGTGGACCAGGTTGCTTCCAAGAGAAAGATAGTCGTCCACCTGTTTGACAGGAAGGGTTCTGAAAGACGGACCAGGTTTTGAAAAGCATTTGTTGGTGGAGAAAAGATAGTCTTCCAAGTGCTTCCAGGGGCCTATTTTCCATGTAGACAGTGGACGAACAAACAATCCTCAGGGCCGAAACTGAAGGCAACTGGCTGATTTGGAAGTAGAGAGACCCTACACCCCCAAATTGGATAGAGGACACATCCACTAAAACCCGGTTGAAATTCTCCCACTTCTAGCACATTCCCAAGTTCCTGATCCAAGATTTGATCAAAGACTCATGACTTCGTTTGACCAAAGATCGCCTTTGAGGCTTTGGAGCGATGGGGAGGCTTACGCTTTGTAAGGCTCAGCATGCAGCGTCCGAAGCTCAGCCCGACCTCCGGACAGGGCAGAAAGACCAATGGCCGAAGGAAGGACCAAGGGAGAAAAGCGGTTTCAGACATGTTTTACATTTGCCACTGGGGTTGGCTCTTACCTTATTTGAGAGTCATAGCCGGATTGGCAGTGGATTGGAGGTGTCCTTCTTCACACAAGAGAGAGCAGCTTTGCTCTTGGGCAACTTTTTAGAGGAATTCTGGGGATGCCCACTATCCATGTACCGGTTAAGTTTCAATGTTTAAACATCGCCTCCTCACCTCTTGTTTGATTCCGACGGTCCGGTTCATGCTCTTCTGATGCTCTCTTGATGCTCATGTCATGCTGTGTGCGCAGTCTTCCTCCCCGAGGTCAGCTGCTGTTCTACACGGTGCGTCATGGGTCGGTGCAGATGCTCCAGTGGCTTTTAGAGGAGCTTGGACGTCGCTTAGATCGAAGCTGCCTCCAGGTGGTTTGGAGGAAGGAGGCTCTGACGGACCGAAGAGACGTGCGGTGGAAGACATAGTCATCAAGATGACCCGGTGAGTGAAGCTGAAGATGCGACTCCCGATGGGCTCCAGAAGGATGACTTAGAAGGACTTCCTGCTTGTGAGTGGTGGGATTTTGCGTTCGATGCCCGAAGGTGGTTGAAAGGAGTCAAGCGGCTGCGAGTCCATGAAGGTGAATCAATGAAGCCTCTTCAATCCCCAAACAACCGGATAGAGTGGATTCGGACACCATCAATCACGCCTATGTTTTGTCCGGATCATGGAATGGCTGGAAGAATTTGGGTGATTTGGCGTTCGTGGTGCCTGTTGATTTGAAGGTTTTAAGGAGTGCACCAGCGGCTACTGCACACCGCCGGCGAACAGGGACAGCAGATTGGTGCTATGGTTTTGATCCGGTTCCGAAAACTCGACTGGTGCCAACTGTTCATGATCAGAGCAAGGGCCAACAAAACATAGCAAAAGAGTTTGGGAGGTGAACCGCCACAGACTTTGCATGTAACATATAGGAAACAATGCATAGTTGTTTAGAGGGATTCCCAAACTAAGTATTAAACGATACCTGGAGCGATACTTCAGAAGTCCAGTCGTAGCCACATCCCCTTGTGGCTACATGTCACTAATGCTACGTAATAGCGTTTCCTCATGCCATGTACCAAAGAGATTGTCGAAGGTCTTTGCACTTTTTGAAGCAACATATCATGGCTTACATGTGGGAGCTTCTTAGAGGTCCTCAGGGCTTAGAGAGATGTCGGGTTATTAGTCTTTTGATTGGGACTGTGTGGAGCAATGGAGAACCTTGACGAGCGATACCATGGCAGCAGGATGACTAGCATGCTCTTTGACCACCCCACATAGGTCATCACCTTGCCGAGGATATATGCTTTGGAAGGCACTCTCCTTGACTAAAACCGGTTGCAGGTCTTGATGCCATTCTTACCAGGCACCATGATCTCATTAGATCTCGTTCTATTGATCCCTCCGACCACTCCTGAAGAAAAAAACACACTAAGGAACCAGTGCTTCTTCGCTTCTGGATGGCCTTGGGCGTCCAAACACCGTTCGGTGGAGGGGGTACCCGACGAATGAATCTTCGGGCCAACGGGGCCTTGACGGAACGAACAGTGGGTTTGCAGGCCTGCAACTGAACCATCCAACCATGTTCTACTGTTCTATGCTGTTCTATGCTGTAAATATATAATATAATATAATGGGATAATGGGATATATTCTTACCCAAGTCAGAGTGCATTCCTCATTTGAGGCAACCACCATCCAGAGGCATTGCACTGGCGGGAGCAGGTGGGGCTTGTTGCTTTGAGCGCTTCGACGTGGTGAAAACCAAGACATACCATACCACAGTCTCAGTAGGGTGTGTGTGCGTGTATGTCAAAACCGGGGTACCCTGGTTTTTTCCCCCGAACATAAACAGACTACTGGGGAGGTCAACGTAGGCTCCGGGTGAGTTCTGGGCTCCAGGTGCAGTGGACGCATGGGCTCCGTGTGATGCTGTTCGGTGTGTGTTTCCTTCAATGAACAAGCCTTTTGCGATACCTGGAGTCCAGTCTGGAGTGCAGTCTGGAGTCCTCGTTTGACTCATACTTTGATACCTGACACTGTCGCGGCTGGCGGGTGTGGTTTGTAGGAACCTTCATAGAGCCAGGGCTGTTGGTCCTTTTCGTTCAGACCCTGGGTTCTCTTGAAGTCTTGAACAAGACCTCGCTAATTAGAATTCCTAGGGATCCATCATCAAATCTAGCTTGACCAGGGACCAGCCTCGCTTTGCGAATGGACTCGTTCGGTACTTTTTGGCCTACAACTAATAGCGTTTGCTCTGAAAAACCTCCAGTCCTTCGTCCCCCAAGTCGCCACACGACGTCACGCTGCGATGCACGGGGGGGTGGGGAACCCCCGCCGCCTCAGGGTGGAAGGACTTCGACGCTGCTGCATGCTGCTGCAGAGGCGCTGCATGCTGGACCGATCCAGTTGGAGAGATCGTGTCCATCGCTGTGACTGGCTGTGAATCTGAGTAGTTTTGGAGGTTCCAGAGCACCATCCAAGCACCATTCGATTCCGGAAAAAGGATGGAGAAGCACCTTGGAATCCAAGTGTGGAGGACCAGCTCCAGTCTAGGGGGCTGTCAGATGCCAACCTGGGAGCCTTGCCGCCGGCAGGTCGACATGCTCGCCATGTGCGTGCGGAAGCCCGGGTTCGGATCGGCACACACACACACACACTGGCACACTGCTGTACCTGGTTACCAGGGGTTTTCAGGTTCCATGTAATCCTTTTTCTGTGGTGAGAAAGAACTAATAACAGTTGCTTAAGATCGACTCCACAAACACATGAGCCAAACAGCTTTGGAAGAATAGAACTGGACCTGCAGATGGCTCGGGCTGTCGACTTCCGATTTGCCCGACCTGCTTGCGGGGGTTTGTGTTTGCATGCGTTGATCGTTTTTGTATGTTATTCTTCAAGCTATGGCAGACCACAATGTGATGGACAACACCTACAATCCTGGTTTCAGCTTCGCAGACCTAGACATCGGACAGAACTCACGATGTGCTCAGAAAGATCCGGCGAAGTGGACAGCCGTAGATCAGATGCAGTGTTTTCCCGCTCAAGAGTCTCAGAACATATTGGTTCCTCCAGTGAAACGCGCATGCGCAAAACCATGTTGTTCTTTTGAGAATTTGAGAATCAGAATCAAGAAGAATAAGGAATAGAATCAAGGAACAGAAGCCCCCCTAGCCCACCAAATGATACCAAGTGTGCAAACTCAGAATCAGTTGGTCTCAGTTCAATGATCGATTCAACAATCGACGGGAGTTCCAACGGGAACATGCACATGGCTGATTATGCCGATCCGTAGTCTCCTTGGGTTTCAAATATGTTCAAATCTAAAAATTACAGTGATTAGGCCGAAACCTTGTAACTCCCCATGCTAGAGATGATCAAAGACTCAAGAGATACTCTCCCTTGGAACTAACATGGAAGTGAAATCATGTGAACTTCCGCTGTTTTTTTTGCGGAAATTGGTCTTCCAAGGATTCCGAAGGGCCGTTTTTCCACTTCCTTGAGTGGAAATCATGGCGTGCAAAATCATGTGTCCAAGATTCAGTGCATATCTCCAAGAACGAGTTCTTCACTTTTTCATCCACTGCCAGTCCTGGCTGCCATAGCCATCGCCTCGACTTTGTCTCGGCTTTCTCGTCCCCCCAACTTAGCATGTTATTTTTGGGTCCAATGGGTTGTGGGAGATCCTTTTCACGCGTTTCGCGTGTGTCCGTCCGCTCGAACGCAGCACGTTTCACGCAACTTGCCTTGTGCTCGGTTTCTTTCGCGACCCACCGAGGTCCTTCTGGAAGAGCTGGGCGCGGACCTGGAGGAGCGAAGCGGACCGGTTCACTCGGGCGGCGGACTGGAAATCTTCGGGTGATGGTCGGGTGAAATCTTCGAATTTCGAACACCGCCACGTGGGGAGATGAGAATGATATGGTGGAGTCATGGGAGTCATGGCACGTACCGGGAAAACGTCCCAACAGCCAGCAGAATCGTGGAGAGGTGAACGTTGCAACCAGGGTGAAACGGGTGCGACAGGTGTCATGACCCACAGAGCATCGGACGCAACATGGATAGAGAGCGAGATGTTTCGGTCTCGGACCCCGGCCCTGAAAGACTACATCAAAGCCTTTGATCCATCACCCCTTCAGACAGATCCATAGTTCCATGGGGATACACAAACTGGAGTATCACATGTAGTCAGTGATGGCCCTTCTTGTGGTTTCAGACGTTCTCGCTGCGTGTCATGTGCTGGATTTTCAGCCAGCACTGATCCTATGGGATGGCCAGAACATGCCGCCCTCCACGCACGGTGGAGGAAAATCGGTCAAGGCTTGCTCTACCAGACGGATAATGTTGAATCCAAATTAGTATAATGGGACGGAATAACAACAATTATTCACCAAATTATTCACACACCCTGATTAGTTTAATGGGTCGGAATAATACAAAGTTGTTCTCCCAATGTTTTGTTTAGACTTGTTTGTTGTTCTATTGTTCTGCTATTGCTCACCCTTTAACATCCTTACTTAACTCTTCTGAGGTTTGCTTGATTCATGGAATTCTGACCTGAAAATCGTTTTCAAAAACGCTTGTTAAAACTCAACGATTCATTGCTCCAAACAACTTTTCAAGGGGCTAGTACACAAGCCCAGGGTAATTGAATAGTATGAATTGTTTAGGGGGTGTGATTAATAAGCAAACTTGGAGCCCTACGGGAAAAATCTATTTATTATTGTTCTGCTATTGCTGCCCTTTGAAATCCTTACATTCATGGAATTCTAACCTGGTACTACTACTACTACTACTACTACTACTACTACTACTACTACTATCACCACTACCACTACCACTAGTACTACTAGTACTACTACTACTACTACTACTACTACTACTACTACCACCTCTACCACTACCACCACTACCACCACCACCACCACCACCACTACTACGACTACTACGACTACTACTACTACTACTACTACTACGACTACGACTACGACTACCACGACCACTACCACTACCACTACCACGACGACGACTGTTTGTGGCGGGGATACTCTTCAGACCCCCTGGATTGTTTGCTAGGGGCCCGCTTACTAATTAAAATCGAACATTACGAACATCTATGAACTGCTGGTGGTTGAAAACCAGACACAGTGGATCTTTTAGTTTCCCAAATGCATAGCTCGTTCAACTTTGGCAGTCAAGAAGGGTTGTTTGCGTTGGACTGCGTGACGTTGCTTCCGTGTTCGGAACCGTTGCAACCGTTGGAATGTGATCGATGATAAGGCCCAGCCTTTGAGGGAAGCTCTTGGAGGAGGTTTCGGGTGGAAACCTGAAGTGTCAGGTTCCTGTGAAATAGCATAGACACGTAACATGTTGAAGTGTGGAGGATGATTTTGCTGCGTCACGTCGCGGCATGTGGCAGGTGAGCAGCAAAACTACGTCCGTGATGTCGCTGTGCCATGCGCTTTGACATGGTGCCACAAGAGTGTCCCGTGAGAGTGTCCCCACAAGACTGTGGCCGGCTGTTTTCGAGTACATGTTGGGTCATGTTGGGTCCGCCGGCATCTAGATGTTTGGAGCAAACGTACGGTGGGTGAATGAGATGAGTCGATTGTGCGCCGGACTCCGTCGCGAGGCGACCAACGAGAAGGGGCAGCAAGCATGGCAGGCGGATCCAAGCTGGACGACCGGTGGTCCGTTCTGAAGGGACGGTTGGGTTGGGTTCAAAATGGGTGCTATATGGTGCATTATGGTGGTGTTTTCTCGATTCTGAAGTTCGGACGCCAAATCCGTGACAAGTTGTTTGTGTTTTTTGCCATGTGTGGTTCCTAATGTTTAAACTAGCTTGTTTGCGACAAGAGCATCATTGAATCGTGCACAGGTTCTGGCTTGGATCTTGGCTATTGAACAGAAATCGTCCCAAGTCACTGTCCACCAGGATGTTCTCCAAGTTCAATGTACCTGCGAAGGCTTGCGTTCTACAAATCGGATAGGTTGGTTCTGGTTCAACTCACTTGGGTACCCACTGATTGCATTCTCCAAGCCTAAAATGATCCTCATGCTGAGGTTGTGTTTTTGCTGTTGCTGGTGATGCTAGTTTGTTTTTACTCTGTATATATGTTACCATCCTTATTCTCCATGCATCATCATGATGTTCGTGATTCCCTTTTTTGGCGCCCCGGCCCAGGTGGCGGGTCCATTTTGCCAAGAGATTTTCAAGCTCTATGGGAGCTTCAGGAGCTGCAACAAAAGATTGGAAGCTCGCAACTGCCCAGTGGTTGTTTGGTTCCTCCACATTTCCCGAGATGCTTCCGTACGGCCGGGCCAATCAGATGGGTTCATGGTGCTCATGATGGCTGCCATGCATGGCTGCCATGATCGGTCGGACCAGCGCTGCGACCGAGACAAGAGACCAGCGCGACACTCTGGACACTCCCAGACCCGTCCCAGCCAAGTAGAACAGAGACCATGTTTGTTGTGACACGGGTGAAACGATGCGAAGGGTGGCGCTTCGGAATGCAAAGGATCTCAAGTGGCCCATTTATATTTGTCAGTCTACAGAAGTATAATATATTATATGCAACAAATAGATATAATAAGACACTGACAGTGATCAGACAGTGGAATTTGATTTTGTCATGGTGTTGATGGGCTTTCCAATGGACATGTGTTGGAGACCTGCATGTTGCTCTCCAGGATGGAAGACAAGAGCCCGGGCACCCGGGTCCCGAGTGTTGCGGGCCATGCCGGGTCCAGGACAGAGCACTGTTTGCAGATGTCAGAAGTGTGTTATTCCACCATTTGCTATGCAGTTCTTGAATGCAGGGTTGACCTTGGATCACAGACTCATAGAAGATATATAGTGCAAGCGTAACGTTGTGGCCACCGAAACTGCATTCCCAGGCCAAATTCTCAGTATACGATAAATTTCTGCAAATCCACTTTCATTCCAAATAGTCCGACCACATTGACTCTCACTGAAGAAACATGACATGCCGTGCATCGTTGAAGCGTGAATGTTCCCTCGGCGAGGCGGCCAAAACATGATACATAGCGATGCCAGGAGCACCTAGTAGCGTCCTTGCTCGTAGTTTCATCATGTTTCATCACCTTTGTTCATTGGCACATACCGAGATGCCACGCTTGCCTCTCACATACTCATACACACTCCCACTCAGGAGTTCTTCCACTCTTGGCGACCGCTCTCGTCGTCTCGCCGCTTCGTTCGGACCCGCCGCTTCGTTCCCGAAGGTCCTTCGAATTGGATGACCACCCTCCGCACGGGCGAGACGGAGGAGAGAGACCGACACGTTAGACGGAATGGGCGAAGTGCCGGGAGATCCTGGTGGACCGAACATGAACAGAATCGACGACCGCCGTTGGGGCGAGCTCTGGGTTTTACGGCCGCCGTTGGCAGCCGGTGAATCTCGACGCGGTCCTTCCGTGGAATGCCGTGATCACGGAGCTGCGAACCAGCAAGAATGTCTTGGCCACATGGTTTGTTCATGAATTTGTTTAGTTGGGAGTGTAACATGTTTTGTTGATGGGTATTTTGTCTGAACGCGACCCTGACCCTTTTGAACTCATATCGTCAGCGAGCATGTTTTTCTCAGTACTGCTGGGCATCAAGTTCAAGATTGTTTCTGTTGGCAGGTGAGCCAGGTGCTTTGGATTGGATCCATTTCTTTTGTGGGTCGAAACTGAAGCAAATCAATCACACCTTCAACTGCAGACTCCCATAGAATATGTTGTTGCATAGGGGTTCTCCCTGCCAAAGTATCAATTTACATGACTGTTTGAGAACCTGTGTATTAGAGGGTCTCTTGGTCCGGTGAGTATCGTTTTGTTGAGGGGATGCAGTGACCATCATGCGATTGTCATGTGTTAGGGACGCATGTGCAGCAGCCTCCATGAATCCACATGTGTACTATGTCCGTGTTGAAGCCCAGCAATGACAGCTTCACAAGCTGCAGCAGCAGCAACAACAACAAAGACGACAACGATACCAACAACAGCTCCAACAGCACAAACGCATGAAAAATGAAGGCAGCAACTCTCTCCTGAACAAAGGACACAGCAGCTAGTAGCCAACATAGCAAAATCAAAACACTGCCTCCTTCCAGAACTAACAAGAAGAACTCAATCTGAAATCAAAGAAGCAAAGCAAAGCAATCTCCCCCTCTCCTGTTTTTGCTGAACAAAATCCTGTCAGGGCTTTGGCGAGTCGATGATGTGAGGACCTCGAGCAGATCCTACGTGTCAGGACGGCGTGGCGAGGAACCCCTGAGGTAGCTGGAGTCCTAGGGTATACACACATTTTATATCACAAACGATCCATGTAATAACTGTAAGTCAATATAACCCACATTCACCACCCCAAACCGCCAGTCATGTAGGTGATATGTGGGCCACCATGGATTCGTCTGGATATATATATATATATATATATTATATATGCTCCCAACTGGAGTGTTGAGTGCCGAGCCAGGTTTCGTCTGTGGATCACCTGCAGGTCACCTTTTGGTGGGGATTTGTTCTTCCTTTTTTCTATTGTTTTTCTCTCACGAAAGTCCGGTGGAACGTTCCCGGGAAAGAACTGAAACATGTGTCCAGAACTGAGCCCTGAGGGAGGTCGGAGTCAGAGTGAGCCTTGTGCGAGTTGAGGATCAGGGCTGGCGAGGTTTGGGTCTGTTCAGTATTCCAAAAGAAGTAGCCTACAGCTTGTTTGGCCATATCCTAGCCCAAATTAGAAGGGATCATCCAGGCACTTTTGCATGGGCCAAGTCACTTTCACTCCTCAACAGGGGTTTTGGAGAATATCCATGGCGTTTTGGGCACAGGAGTATCCGCGGCCTAGCTGGATGTGACACATCCTGGCGCTCGAGGGATCCCAAAGGCTTTGGTCAAAACAAAGTGGTGTCAGAGGTTCAATGGCACTGGCCCCCAAAGATGTTTTAGACAGATGGGGGCGGGGGTCCATTTTTCAACCTCCACACTTAGGGATCAACTTAGGGTTTAATTGTGCCATCTAGTCTCCATCCACTTTTGCAACCGACATTTGTTCTTGCAGTCTTCTTTGGGTGGGCCCTGGACACCGTATGTTTGACAACACGGTGGTGATTCCGACGTTGGACCATTCCAGAGAATGCAGCAACCGTGTCATTGGAACCAAGAGCTCCAGTTCATGAGGACACGGTGCTTGCGCAACCGAGGTGTCTTGGTTGGGTCGCATGGATTCGAATGGATCCTGTGGTGTGAAGTGGCATGATGCTGCTTCAAAGCATCATCTATCATCATGAGGATCATGAATCATCAGTTCCCGCATATGTCCCATCACCAGAATCTGCGGAAAAGAAACAAAACAGCGATAACCTCCGGGAAAAAAAGGACAATATGTACTGGACTCCTCATAGATCCTAGTCCTTGGGTGCGTGACGCGCCACTGAGGAGGCGACCGCCCTGACGCCGTTCAGCTGGGTGAGGCCAATGGTCCGAAAAAGCCGCGTATGTTGAATTCCTCCAGGGGATCGTTGCTTGCCGGAGACGCCTGTTTTGATACACGTAATACACACCCAACCTTTTTGAGAGTTGATTCGGGGTTGAATGGCAAAACCGAGGAGTTGGTAGATACGTTAGATACGTAATGTGTGTGAAGTGGTGACAACGTTCATTCTACTTGACAGTGATCGTTCGATTTGTTTGATGGACTTGCCTGAAACAAATAGAGTTCGGTAGGAGATCTGCTTTGAAGACATGTATATAGAGGGATTGAATTCCGGTCGCACCTGGAAAGGATTGTGTTCAGTTCGTTATTGAACTCAATATTGATTTATTTACGGAGGGATCTATCTTATACCTCGTGAGGGCGTGGGTGAGCCAAGCATAGGGTATTTCCTCAAATTTCCACAAACATGCAGTTTCACTATCAACCTGCATGTCGAAAGGAAATGAGAATGAACTCAGGCCCAAAGCTCGCGATGTTCTGTTTTCCAACAATGCGCACTGCGCAGAACAGCCCTGCCGAGGACATGAGTCTAGAAAAGCGGCTCTTTCCTGAGAGGGGTCACAAGGTGGTGGTTTTCAGAGCTTGTTTCATACCATGCAGACATGAGCACGTTTGGATGCTCCAAAACTGCCTCAGAGTGTAAGCCCTCTTGGGTGACGGGCTTTATGTTCTTTTTCCTGGGCAAAGACTGCTCTGGACTTTTGAATGCCCAAAGAAGGCACCACTGGATGGCGCATGAAGTGCCCTCTCCGCAGCATGGTCAAGAAGGCCAACACGATTCCGAGGAATCCTGCAGAAACAGTTGTCCCCTGCGGTTCCAGGTTCCGGTTTTCATGCTCACATCGACCCCATGTCAACGTTCAGGAGGAGCCATTTTGGTGGTGGACTCATGAGAAACTGGTGGGAAATGGCTGTGAGTCAAAACATGTCAAACACCCTTGGCAACCAAACCATGGTAGGTTGACATTCCCGCATATGAGAAATCCAAATGACCGAGTGGCGATGGCACACGCTTGTCCAGTCAGCCAGTTGGAACACGGACTTCGATCCCTTGTTTGTTTCCAACAGAGGTTAACCTGGTTAACCCTATAGACTATCCCATACTTAGGTACGCCAGGTGACGGGTCCTTTGAGGGCCCAATATCAGGGCCACGGTAATGGTTGGGTAGCTCCTCTCCCGGGTAGGGCCGAAGACTCTGAAGGGGTCTTGATGAAAAAGCTTCATGATAACTCAGTAAGTAACTATAGTGTTAAAACTATTCTCCTGAACACATACCTAGCATTGACAAAAACATATGAGTTGGTGAATCACGTATGTTTTGGAAGAGTGTATGTATGTGTTATATGTGTTGTCAGTTCCCGTGTTAATCTTCCAAAAGGTCGAGTCCTTTATTTGGAGTGGGCAGTGAATAAGTTTGGGAAAAAAGATACAAGCTTAGTGTTTTGGAAGCTGTTTGCGATTGAGGAAAGAAACGCTATAAGCTGGTTGTTCTCGTTAGCATGGTGTTTGAGAGATGTATTCGGTGGCTAACTTCCCTCGTTAACGAGCTGCCCTTGAATAGTTCTTGGGTATCTGGGTGAGCAAGTGTTTGTTCCTTGATTGACGAATTCTCACATCGGGAGAACTCGAAAGCTTGGTCTTTTGTCGGAAAAGCTCGCACTTGACAAGCTTGGTGTTGGTCCGATGCTACCCATCTTAGACTAGTCCAGGTATGATGGTCATTTGCTTTTTCTGTGCCTTTTGGATGGGATCAGAAAGCAAGCAGGGGGGGTTCTGCAGGAAATGTCGCTGCCTGGGGGATGTGTTCGGGATATGTTCATCGCTTTTGTCGAGCGAGTCGGCGTCTCGCGTTCGATCGTGGACTCGCTCGATCGCTGCGGACCCACGCGGTCATTTTTGTTCGTCGCTTTCTTACCGTACCATGTGGAGATACTGCACGCTGAAAGCTGCCTCCTGCTCAATCCCAGGATTCAGGATTTCCAGGTGTTTTTCTTTTCGCAGCACCGCTTTGAACGAAAGCCCGGACATACTGAGGAAAACATGCAGAGCACTTCGGAAAGATTCAGTGATTGGCAATCTCACGACAAGTGATTGGTGAGCAGTAGACTCAGTACAAGACATCCATTGAAAAGAGGATTACTAGATATGTGCAAGGATCAAGGATTAAATATGTGCATATGTTATTCCATGTGTGGTGTCTACAGAGCATCCCAGAGCATCCCAGAGCTCCTGACCGGCGATTCGGCTTCCGGCCTTGGCAACGTGAAGAAGACGCAAAAGGTGCATCCAAGAGGCCATCATGTGTGGGTGTCGATCTTGAGCAACAGTGTGCAACGCCCCTCGCTTTTTGTATCGAAAAGAAAATATCGCGGCAAGAGACCCCAAACAGTGTATGTGTGTGAGGTCTAGAGATCTAGACGCATTGGGGTCCAGAGAGGTGACGGTGGTGATGAAGGTGGGGATCGTGGTGACGGTGGCGATGGTGAGTGAGTGAGTGAGTGAGTGAGTGAGTGAGTGAGTGTGAGTGTGAGTGTGAGTGTGAGTGTGAGTGTGAGTGTGAGTGTGAGTGTGAGTGAGTGAGTGAGTGAGTGAGTGAGTGCGAGGGAGAGTGAGAGTGTGACAGTGGGTGAGTGAGTAAGAGTGAGTGAGTGAGTGAGTGAGTGAGTGAGTGAGTGAGTGAGTGAGTGAGTGTGAGCGTGTGTGAGTGAGTGAGAGTGAGAGTGAGGGAGTGGGAGAGTGAGCATCTGAGAGCACAAAGTGCTGTGCCTGCCACAAAATCTGCACTTCGAGGTTCACCAAGTGCTGCTGCCTGCTACGAAATCTGCACTTCGAGGTTCACCAAGTGCTTCGCCTGCCACGAGATCTGCGCTTCGAGGTTCGTGCTGCACCTCCCACGAAATCTGCACTTTGAGGTGCGCCTGCTGCGAAATCTGCGCAACGATGTTCACAAAGTGCCGTACCTGACTGCCACGAAATCTGCAGACGAGCCACATGTCCAAAAGTCACGATTCACTGCACTTGTCACGAATCTGAGCTCCTTGACGATCACCACCATGTCTTAAGTGCTGCACCTGCCACGAAAACTGCATTTGGAAGTAAAATCACGAAAAGTCGACGTTGAAGCGCCCAAACACGAGGTTTCCCTTGCGCCTGCCACGAAAAGTCACCATCATGTGCGAAAATGCGCACGGCACCACAACAAGAGCGCAGTCGCTAGAAGCACCGAAATGCACGTCGAGGCTTTCGAGAGGCATGAATGTACTGTAAATAGCAGCGAATTAGCCGCACACGCCCGCGCCGCACACCTATCTAAGCACACCTGCTTTTCTCCTACCGTAAGAACCCCTAAGTGTGTCCACACTGTTTGGGGAAATACCAACATTTCAGCGAAGGCGGGTTCAAGAGCGTTGGGGATGTGACTTGTGCACGTCATTTGTGTGTGTGTGACCCCTTCCGTCTCCAGGACTTTTGCTGTTTTTCCAAAAAAGCAGGGGCCATCCTCTCACCGTTGGTGGATGGCCAACGAAGAGGCCAATGGTGAGAGCTGTCAACGTACCTCCAGTTCTACACAGGGTAACAGAAGGAAATGGTACTCTGTTGTCCCTCTTCCAGTCTACTCTACCCGGGCGGTCTCGCCCCCGTAACTCAAGCCCGCTAAGTATTCAGTAACTAGTAGTAATGGGCTAATGCGAAGCAGATGTTGAAACCTTTCTGTTTCACTGACTCCGCCACCTTAGCGTTCCTGCATTCATTTCCTCGTGGATTATCTTACTGGACGAACCCTTGTCTAAGTGTGAATCGCTGTGTTTTCCCACCTGGGTGCCCTTGGTGTGACTTTCTCGTTCTGCGCATGTGGGTTATGTTTTTTGGGATTGTTTTGTTTCATCCATGAACCAACTGAACCGTAGGCCGCCGGGCACACGGATAGAAAGCCGCCGGGCTTACTACGCCGAATAAACTCCCACCCCCACCCCTCCCCTCTTTCCTTCTTGCGGTTTCTTCGTTTGTTAGGTGTTTCTTCAGGCTTGTTAGGTTGTTCTTGAGGCTCGTTTCCCTGCCCCTCGGCTTCGCTTACTTGCAGTTCTACACAGGGTAACAGAAGGAAATGATACTCGACACTTTTCTTCTGTCAGTGCCTTTCCTTCTGTTGCCCCTTTTCTAGTCTACTCTACCCGGGCGGTCTCGCCCCCTAACTATTGCTGGCCGTAATTCAAGACCACTAAGTATTCAGTAGTTATACCTTTTTTACTACACCTACCTTTCTCTCTTGCCCTCTGCGTTTTTCTTTCTGTCTTTCTTTCCTTTTTAAGGCTTGTTAGGTGCCTATTCAGGTTTTCACTCCATAATTTGCCGTTCGCTCGGCAGACATGCATGGCCTTACGCCTATCTTGGCTTGTTAGGTGGCTACTCAAGTTTTGATTCCGTGATTGGCCATTCGTTCGGCCGACATGCATGCCCTTACACCTAATTTTGTCTTTTTTGCTCTTTTCTTTTTGCTTATTTTGTTGTTCTTTTTCTTTTTCTAAGGCTTGTTAGGTGGCTATTCAGGTTTCCGCGCTGTGCGGCGCTCAGTGTGTGTGTGTGTGTGCCCCCCACCGTCTCCAGGAGGTTTGCTGTTTTTCCCAAAAAAAGCACGGGGCCATCCCTCTCACCATTGGTGGATGGCCAATGAAGAGGCCACGGGTCAGAGCGGTAAACGTACCTGCAGTTATACACAGGGGAACAGAAGGAAATCTTTTTCGACACACTGGTGTGTCGATGCCTTTCCTTCTGTTATCCCTTTTCCAGTCTACTCGACCCGGTCGGTCACGCCCCCTAACTACTGCACGGCTGTAATTCAAGCCCGCTAAGTATTCAGTAACTGGTAGTTATGGGCTAATGCGAAACAAGATGTTAAAACCTTTCTGTTTCGCTGACTCTGCCACCTTTCCGTTCCTGCATTCATTTCCTCGTGGATTATCTTACTGGATGAACCCTTGTTTAAGTGTGTGGGGATGGTGTGGGTGTCAGTACAACTGCTGGACCTGGACAAATGAACCTTAGATGTGACTGGTAGCTTAAATTTGAAGAAGATCAAGTCAAAATGAAGCTGCTGGCACCTCCAAATACTTTCAGCAAATAAGTATAAATTCTTCACAGGCGTTAGCCTATATAATGCTGATGCTTTCACCCTACATATGCCAAATCTGACTGACCCTTATTTTATTTGCAACATGGGTGGGGCGCAGCGCCTGACTCTTGCTGTGTTTTGGTGGGATTTGAGATAGGAGGTCAATGTTTGCATTTTATACACTTTGAGGATTTTGAGGCTCTGACAGGCAAAGGGCAGTTTAGGTGGCAGTTGATTTATTATAGGATGGTTTTTTGCTTTTCTTGGATTTGATACTGGGACACAGTCAGGGCATTTTTTGGGCAACTGGGTTTGTAGTGTCATATAGATGGGTAGAGGACCCAACAAGGCAATTTGTAGTACTTTATAAACTAGACTACACTGTTTTGTCAGTACTAGACTACAGTTTTGTCAGTTTTATTTTTGACATGTTCATACATTGTCCAACCAAAAGGAAATATACAGACATCCAATCATTCAAGGCATTCAGTGTGACCTAGCCGGCTTTGTAATTAGCTGGA